CATTTTTGGTGAATTCAAAAGAGTCAAGGTTCTTCACCTTACATACATGTGTGTACTTTGCACACAAATACAGAACATTGGTAATAGAAACTTTCTGTTGAGTTTGGTTTCCCAGAAATGGCTAAAAATATTAGACTCATGTCCAAGTTGTTCTATTATAACAGTGTTTTAGCTATCTGGAATATATTTCAGATGTGTTTGTACTAATTTTGTATATCACCATCATCTGCAAAAAGTTTAAGTAGAAAAGATGTGGGCTTACAGTTCCAGTACTACAGTGATGCTAATTCTTTATGAAGGCTCTTAAAGCAAAGGATTATTTTGTGTGTAAGAGAAGGTTACTGATGGTCAGCTCTGTTAGAGTTCTTAAGAAAAGATTGGCACTATGAACTAATTTTCAATAAGACAAATGAAAAATATATTCAATCATGAGTTTTATTCATAGATTCATGCATGTCCACATGTGTCACTTGTATTCTTATGTGTATATGGGAGGTACAGAAGCAATAGGGCCCATCCTTGCATTCCTTTTACCCCTGAAGATATTTTACTTGTTCTAAATTCCTTTCTGAATGGCTACCCTTTAAATCCAGAGGGGGGGAAAAATACTAATAATTTTAAAAGTTGCAACACGAGTGAACCAGTTTGCATACTTAACTGAGAGATGTCTTCCCTCCACCATAGAAAGGACATGTTGGTACATTTCAAGCCAGCTAGCTGGGTTGAAATCTTAGAAATAATGGCATTGACAGCGGCAGACCTACGTTTGGCAGCATCATAGAAAATGGAATAGCTTATCATTTTAATGGCTTATCTGAGGATGTATCCTCATTGTGTATCTGAAGGCCAGTATCCCCCAAATCCCAATTTATATAGTAACCTATCTGGAAATCAGGGAATGATTTTTGAGGTTATAAAATTTGGATAATTCAATAAATAGTAATGTAACACTTGTATGGAAAAACAGAATCCTCGGAAAATAAAGCAGTAAGCATCCAAAATTAATTAATTCATCTTCAAGATTTCCTTCTTATTTTTGGCATATTCTTTTTATGCCTCCTTTTTCTTTACCTCTATATGCAGGGGTTGATGCTCAGTCTTTTGTTTTGTTTTGTTTTCCTCTTGTCTTTTTGTCACACAAATATCTCCATCTGGGTTCTTCCTCCAATACTGACTTGACTTTAAACAAATCTTTAAATCTGCTTTCTCTTTTTTCAGTGATCTTGTATATTTCAGGGGGAAAATAGGTACCACAAAAGTGTCTTAGAAAGGAAACATATTGTTACAAAGGTAATTTACATTAATAATTATTCTTAATATGTGTTTACATGGCATGTCAGTCATCCGTGGGCAGCTAGTGTTAACATCCCATTTTACATTTAAGGAAGCTGAGGCATAGAGGTAATACTGACTTGTTCAACTTCAGATGGTTAATTTGTGGTTGGTGTTTTTGATTCCTGTGACAGAACTCTTAGTATCCTAAAATGTCTAAATGTACTGAATAACTTAATGTTCTTTGTCTAGTGTTTGTGAGCTGCCTGTCTCATCTATCATTTGGACATTTAGAAAATAATGTGGAAAAGGTGAAACACATTTTTTGATGAAATATTTAATTTTCATTGAAGTTTGTGTATTCATCTAGTGTATATTTGTGGAACTTCTACTATATACCAGAAATGTATTTTCCCTGGAGACATACAGATACAAGTGTTTAAATCAACATTCAAGTGTGTCAGTTCTTTGTTCTCTGGTCCATGTGTGTCTGCCCTCAGGACATGGGCAGTGACCTGTTAGGGGAAGATTTAACCTAGTTTTAGAATAACCTTGGAAAGACCTGTGGTAGTCTTTTCTAGAAGTGGCATTAGATCAGCTGAGAGTCTGAATCCTGCTTTTTTCTGTTCTGGGGCCTAGGTAGAAAATATATGTGCCTCTGCTTTGGGCAGCCCATTCTTTTCTGGGCATTCTCTAATTATCAGTATTTTTCCTAAAATAAATGTATCTTTTCCTCTGGTCTTGACTTTTTAACATCTTTATCCCATTTCTTTATTGATGTGAAAGTATAAAATCTTGCCTGATTTTAATTGTGTGGTTTTTCTGTTTTATTCAGCCAAGTTAGTTTGTATGCATCATTGCATTGATTTTTTTTTTTTATGGTACTTATATCTATGCATTGCTCACTTTACAATTTCTTTTATGATCAGTTCATGACTATAAAAGAACTTGAAAATGGTAACCTGGCATCCCTTTTGAGCCTGAACCTTGCTATAGAATTTGATCAGTTTATTGCTGCCTTTTTTTGTGTTTACTTTTTCTTTTCTTTCTTTCTTTTTATTTATTTATTTATTTATTTATTTTTTGAGACAGAGTTTAGCAGTGTAGTTCAGGCTGTCCTTGAATTTGTGACCCTCCTACATCAGTTTCCAAAATGCTGAGATTAAAGCCACATAGCTGGTTTTTCTGTTCCCTTTTTGAGGCATGAGAAGTGGGTACCTGTGGGTTTTGGTTTTTTGCTAGGCCTTCTTGCCTTCCTCTCATTCTTCTACAACCCTTTCCATGAAGTATTAAGGACTAGTTTTTATAGAAACAATTCATGAATGAAAAAATACTTTGAGGGGAATTGACATTTTTACAATGTTCAGCCTTCTCGTCTATACCTTGGTACATCTCTTTATTTAATGAGCTAATTTAAAAATATATTTTGGAAACCTTAAATCAGTATTTTAAAAAGGCATATAGTGAACCATTAGTAACCATCACCCAGATTCAACAGTTATCAGTCTATTGCCAAGCGATTCTATCTGTACATCTGCCTTCTACCCTTTTGTGTTATAATTTATGTAAGTCACTCAATGTATGTGAATAATTTAGTGATACCAGATCTTTTTTGTCTATGTCTTTTATTTCCTCAACATTTTGACTTGTGTTAAGGATTGTTTTTTAAAGTTTAAGATTTGAAACTATGTCTAATTTTGGTAGCATTTTTAAATAGTATTCAAAGTGTACCTGATGGCTTATTTTCTCTCAAGCACCCTGATTTATTTTGTGGGCATGGTTTAACTTATTTTATTTATTTCTTTTATCTCCTGGGTATTATTAGGCAAAACGAAATGTTTCTCCATTTGTACCAGTACATTTTTGTGACGTTATTCTGCAGATGCTAACTTTCCTTTTAATTGTGCCATGTCCATATTTTGAAATGGATTTCCAGCATATGGTATTGTTTATTCACAGTATTATATATTTAGCACAGCCTTGTCAGCTCTCTGAAATCTCTCTACGGCTTATCTGGTCTGCTTCCTCCTGGTTTCAAATGGTGTCATCTCTGTAGTAGCTTCCTTGGGCTGTTTTAACAACTACCGTGGACTAGCTTTAAATAACAGAAATTTTAACTCAAATTTCTGGAAGCTCCAAAGTTCAAGGTTAGTATGTGGCAGGGCTGGTGCCTTCTGGATGCTGCATGAGAGTCTGCTCTGTACCTCTCCCCTGATTTCTGTTGGCTCCTGGTACCTCTTGCCGTCCTTGGCCTGAAGCAGTTTGATCCCAAGGGGCTCCATCTTCACAGGCTTTTCCCATTTGTCTGTGTCAGAGCTTTCTTTAGAAGAGCTGGTTTTGGATTTAGGGCCCATCTTAAATCAGGATGGGCTCCTGCCAAGATCTTTGGTTTAATTATCTGTGCAAAGACCCCATCCTCCACATAAAGTCATACTCATATAAGTTTCATGGCCAGGACTTGGGCCTGTCTTTTTAGGGTGTATCAGTCCACTGTACTTCCCAGGCAGCAGACTTGCCTGTAGTCCATTTTAACATCTGCAGATTAACCCTGTGAAAACATCAAAGCTTTAAGGTGTGAGTCAAGTTTTCCAGTCAAGTTTTCCAGTGGCAAGGTTGGGCCACTGACATTGCAATGCTGACTGCCTGTCCTTATGGTTCTTCGCTTTGATTGTGTATTGCTGTTCATTGCTCCACTACTCATGGAGCTGCCACTGTAGATTTTTAAAAAGCGTAAGTCTGACCATAATTCTCTTGTTACTCTAGAACTAACGGTGGATCCTTAAATAACGTCCTTATACAACTTTTGAAAGGCAGCAGGTGATGTCTTCACTCTCCCTGCTCATCTTCTGAGCCTTCACCCATACTGTGCTCTGCTTAGGTTAGTGCATTCCAGGACAGTTTCCTGGTTGTTAGCCTGACTTTAGCCGTGAGCATATCTCTTTTTTTCTGGGGGTGCATTTCTCAGCTCCTTGATGTCTCCACAGCATCGCTCACACTGTGTCATAGCATTTTTCACTTGAATTGTGTATACTCCTTTGCTTATCTCAGTTCCTCTCTGGGACCAAGTTGGTCCCATTCACTGTTGTTGTTCAGTTTCAAGCATAGTACTTAATGTTTATTTAATGAAAAAATAAAAAGCAGGGTTCGGGGTTGAAATCTTAGGTATTTTTACCTTTTTTACTTAAGAAGGTGTTGGATAGAGCTAGTTTAGCCTGTAGTGTCTACTTTTTTTCTTGGAATGACTCAGAACTGCCACAGATATTTGGATATTTGAACATATTTCAGGAGCCACTAGAATCAGGTCTGTTGGTGTCTGCTATCAGATGTATACCACTAATAGATCTGAAACTAGTTTGCCTGTTATAAGGGCATCCTAGTAAAAATTGCCCCCTGGTAGCAGGGTGATCAAAACATTAACCTCAGAAATCAAAAACTGTTTAGAAAGCAACATTTGTTTTAATTGTAAGCATAACACCAAAAAAATTTTATATCTGACAAAAACTACTAAAACTGTTGTCATACTTGAACTGATTTTTTTCTCTTGTAGAGAAAAAAATTCATGTACATTCATGTATTAAATCCTAGGAGAATTGTACTGCCATTTTTCTATCAAATGAATGGAAAAACTTGCTTCTGTAATTTATTTTAGTGAAAAATTTACTTTTTAATTTGACTGTTGTGTACCTTGCCTTTGCACGTTTGTGCTGATGAGTTCTTCTTTCCCATAGTTACGCCCCATGGTGTCCATCGTGCCAGCAGACTGATTCTGAATGGGAGACCTTTGCAAAGAATGGTGAAACTCTTCAGATCAGCGTTGGGAAGGTGGATGTCATTCAGGAACCAGGTACTGTAAATGGTTAATGCTTAACAAAAAAGTTTAGCAACTTTTTATCTTGAATTTTTATTTATTTATTTTTAAAGTTTTTTCAAGCATATAGAAAAGTTTAAAGACCAAGATGCTAATTACACATGAACTAGCCACCTGGAATCAACATATTATATTTTAACTTATCAGGATCTGCCTATGTATGCATGTGATTATATGTATATTTATATAAAAGTATATTTGTTTTTTTTGTTTTTTTGTTTTTTTTTCCTGAGATATTGCCAGTTAGTTACAGACCAGACATCATAATAGTTTACCTTTAGTTCTTTAGCATGGTAAAATCTTGTTGATGATTTCTTGTGGGTTTTTTTCATAGTGTTTTTGTACCAAGATCCAGTCAGGTTTCACAAGTTGCATTTGGCTGTTAGGTATTCTTAGGCCATCTTAATCTTGAATTATCACCCATTTTTTTCGTGTCATTGATATCTGGAAGAGAACAGGCCAGTATTTTCCTAGGTTTTCCGTAACTTCCTTATGCAAACTTGCATGAGACATTACCATGCTTATAGATCTCCAGTTGGACTCAAGGGGACCTTTGTGGTGGGCTGTTGCCATTGCCTTGGCTGTACTTGTGTGGACAGTGCTGTGGGATCTAGGCCCTTGCTCTCATGTTTCTTCATTTTCTGTAAACTGGACGTTTGATCTGGAAATGTGATTTGATTCAGGCTTGGAGTTTATGGCAAGAGTACTTCATAGATAGTGCTGGGACTTCTTGTTGCATTGGGTACATGGTGAAGTGGTTGATGTGGTAATACTAAATTTCTCAACTAAGAGAGTCCCTACTTTATCATTGGCAGTTAATCTGTGGAAGGATACTTTGGAGCTTTAAGGTCCATGATGATCTTGCCTGAATCATATATCACTGGGCATTCTAGAACATTGAATTTTTAATTTTGTAGTTTAGAGTAAAAGAGAAGAGACTTTAAATTTTGAAAATATACACAGTAATTTGCATTCATAATTTAAAAACAACTTTATTATATGTGAATTGGGGAGAAAAGTTGGACTCTTTTTATCTAAATCTCTAAAATGTGACTCTTTTCAAATTTTATGTTATATTTTTGTTATATTTTTCTATTAAAATTCAATTTCTAACTTCCACATATCTGTATGAGGGAAGAAGGAAGTAGGCCTGGAAGAGTCCCTAGTCACCTTTCTGTAATAACTGTGAGTTCATAAAACATGAAGCAATCAGATACCAATTATTTAGACAAAAAGTGTATGGGATATATTAAGGTCCACATATGGACAGCCCCACAGAGAGAGATGTCCACTAAAGTCAGAGTTTTTTTTTGGGGGGGGGTACTGGGGATCAAACTCACAACCTCACACTTGGCAGGCAGGTGCTTACACCACTGAGCTAAATCCCCAGCCCTAAAGTCAGAGTTTTTAAACTTTAAGCTTTCAAGCATCTCAAACAAGTCTATCTTTGCCCATCCTCTGCTTAAAGGCAGATAGGTGTAGTTACCAGTTTGTGGTTTGGGCTGTTATAATGGGTGGTTCTTTTTGGGGAGCAAATCATTGCAATTACACTTTTTGTTAAACACTTTTTATCTTTAATAGTTTGAGTCCAAGGATAAGTGGTGTAAGACTTGTTATCTGTTGGTCGCCAGGCACATTTCATGATGGTTTTTTTTAAAAATGTAACTTCATACTTAAGTCGTTTGTTATCCTGCTATATTTTCATGGTTAAATTTCATTAGTTAAATTAGAAAATTAAAACAGGCTTGTGAAAGATTCATAAATCTAATGTTTGATTGAATATAGTCTTTCTAAGAATGTAGATTTACAGCTGCTTTTCTGTTGTATCTGGATCAAGACTTTAGCAAGAAAGAAATCGGTTAATGTTGCAGTCAGGATTTGTAAAGGAATAATTTTAACACGGGACATGTGCATTTATAGGAGTTTCTTATAGTATTCACCCAAAATGTCAAATGCAGAAGCACGCAGGAGATCTGTACGGCACTAGAGACCCAAGGGCCTGGGTCCCCTAGCAGTGTCCACACAAGTACAACAGAAGACCTAGAGCCCAGGCTCCAGGAGTACAGCCGGAAGCCTAGATGTGACCAAAGGCCTAGAGCCCAGGGCAGTGTGCTCCAGGAGTCCAACTGGAGGCCTAGAGCCATGGCAGTGTCTCATTGTGGGGGAAGGTGAAGGGTCTGTGCTGGAAAGCTGGAGAGTCTGTGCCAACAGCCTGAAGGATCTGTGTGGGACACTGAGGGATCTGCCCTGGAGGCAGAAAACTAGGCCCCAGACAAAGGCAGAGACCAGAACTCCCCAGAGAGCATTAGCTATCCCTGTGACAGTATTTGTGTTGGGGAAATCAGCAGTGTGCCCCCTTCCCCTCCTGTCCTTCTCCTTCTATACCATTCGGCAGCGCTCCTTAGGTGGGTCTTCCATGCCTAGAGCCATACTGTCGCAGTTCATCTGGGTGCCCCACTCAAGCTGGTCATTAATTAATCCTCCACAGTTAATGAATGCCTTAAAAGCATTTATTGTTGACTCGTTTTTTTGTAAATATACCCTAAATGTACTTTACTCATCAAAGAGAACAAAGAACTCTTCTGTCTCATACTCAATTGAAATAGCGAAGAAAGGGCTAGGAAAATTACTATGTTTAAGGAAAAATTTAAGGCAAAAATCACTAAAATTCTTTTTAAATGATAAAAACTTTAAAAGCGCAACTCATAAATATCAGGAGGCAGAATTCTACCTGCATGATTATTTGAGTGGCTTAGAGAACACTGTTATGGGTCATATGCCAATGTTGTGGTTAATGACAAATACTATGACGGTGGTCCCGTAAGATGTGTTACCCAGTGATTTAGCCATCTTAGTGTACACTCCGCAGTGTTCACACAACTGGCCAAAGGAGGCAGGCGCAAAGCATATCCCTCTCTTTAAGTAATGTGTGGCTGAATGTTTGTGACTATACTACTTTTTGTTTAATGAAAATAAAATAAAATAATGAAAATAAATAAAATTTCATAACAAAATGATAAGAGCATAACCTGAGTAAATCTTCACGGTTTCACTGATCTTTTAATAAGACTTAAATAATGTATTTATTTAAAAAGGTATTTATTCAATGAATATTTGAATTACTGCCATGTGCTAGGCCTGCTCTAGATACAGATGATGCATAGGTGAACAATGAAGTCAGAAACCTGGCTCTTCATTTTCATTCTAGTGAAAGAGATGGATAAGTAACAAGCGTAAGATGGAAGGTAATGCCAGATGGTGGTAGGAGCTGTGAAGAAAAATAAAATAGGGTAAATAAATATGTAGAAAATAGTGGAAACCCCTTTTTTAGAGAAGATGGCCAGGGATGGACTGTTCAACCAGAGATGCTGATAAACTGAAAGTGAAATCAGCAAGCTTTGTGGGAGGAAACAGTTCAGTAGAGGACAAGACATGTGTAGGCAGGTGTGTTTTGGCTGAGTTGAGAAGGAAACAGTGACAGCCAGTATGGAACTTGAGATGAAGGTGGACAGTGGGACCTTCTTGGTCATGGCAAGGAATTTAGATTTTATAAGAAGTATGACAGGAAGAAAGCTGCTGGAAAGGTTTAATAGGGGAGTGACATGGTTTAATTACCTTGAGTGGTGTGCAAAACATTGACTGGGTGGGTCAGAAATAGAAACAGGGAGAGTGGTGGGAAGTTAGTGTAGTAACCAGAAGTCAGAAGGTGGTGCCGTGGGCTAATCGTCCTAGTGGTTAAAATGGTTGGATTTGAGACCAGGGTTTCTGATGAACGGATTGGTTGTAGGATGTGATGGGAAGAAAAGGGATGGAGAAGACTGAAGAGGACCAAGTGTGAGACAACAGTATTAATTTGGAATGTAAAATAGACATCCAAATAGAGGTGAACTAGACTGATAAATTTGAAGACCATCAGTGTAGATGTTTCAGGCTAGAGGAAGAGTTGAGATTACCTAGGGTAGTGGAGGCGAGCCTATAAGACTCAAGCCAAACCACCCCAGCTAAGTTTTGACAAATTATCAGCATGTGTACAGCAACAAAGATAATATTAATTATGCAAAAACTTGTCAAATGCAAACTTTTACTTTTAATGCAGTGCTGTTTGTATCATTGAAAGGTCTCTTACTGTTTAAGACAAAAGATGTTAATGTATGAGTTGGTTTTTTCTAAGCTAAAATTTAGTTTTCCAGTTTTATTGCAGTGTTGGCACTTTGCCATAAATAAGTGGGTTTGGGGTTTCTAAAAGGTTCCCCATCACTGACTAGGGGTGGGCACTGGAGAAGTAAGAACAGGGACCTTACAATGTTTGGAGCAAAATGAGTTGCCACAGAGGAGAACTAGCTGATGAGAAAGGAGAGGGAGGCAGTAGGAGGTGCTCCTGGAGGCTGAGGGAAGAGAGTGACCTCTCCTGGGCCTTATCTCTGTTCTTAGGAACAATTTAAGTGTTTACTTTTACAGAATCTAAAGTTCTCACTAAGCAGTAGAAAGCATGAATAACATTGTTTCCCCCAGAGTTGAGCACTTCACTGGGTATTTCTGTATTTCTCTTTGGTCATAGATCTCTGTTGGTGTGTTCTATGTCAAAACTATCTGTATTCGGGCTCCTTGTACAGGAGTGGTTGGCAGGAAAATTTCCAGTGTTTTTTGCTCTATAAGAAAGTTTAACATGAGGGGAAAGCAAGCATTTATACACACATACTTTTTAGTTATGCTTATAGTACTTCCATTGGTATATCTAACTAGCCATCCCTGTGACAGTAGTTGTGTTGGGGAAATCAGCAGCATGCCCCCTTCCCCTCCTACATTTTTTTTTTTTTTAATTTAAGAGGAAAAAGAGAAAAACACAAAACAAACCAAAGCAGTGTAAGGGTACACGTAATACAGAACTACAAAAAAAACAAAACAAAACAAAAAAACCAAAACAAACAAACAAACAAAAAAACATAACAGTAAGAAATCACCTGTTAGTAGATTACATATTATCATCTTGAAAATAGTTCCTCAAATCACAGTATCAAAGAATACAAGGTGGACATTCAAACAGGGAGACTGCAAACAGCTGTGTTCAGTGATCCAAAAACATTGATATAGTCAGCTATTTAACACCCCTAAACACACTTACTGTTATATCCGTTAGAGCTCTTTTTCTTTTTTTTTTTTTTCCCTCTCTTTTTACAACAAAATTTACACATTTTGGATTTTATTACTCCTTAGTGCTTATTACTTTTTTTGGGGGGGGGAAGAATACAGTCAAATATGGCAAAACAAAGCTGTCAGTCAATACCAAGGATAGACATAGCACATGGTGTAGAACAGAGTACAAGTTTATCAACAATGGTTATCAACGTTGTCCCTTGTTTCCCCTCCTACATTTTAAGCAAATATATTTCACAGTGATCAAAACTGGAAGTTACAAACATGGTGAGTTCTTACAGGTGAGATGTAGAAGTCAAGGAAAAGATAGACCTTTGTTACATGACACTGCCTGTTTATTACTCTGTAGGTGGCTCAGTTGAGCTGTCTGTATGTACTTGAACTTTCTGTTCCATGCAGTTAAGCTTTGTTGTCGAGGATGTAAACAGCAGCTGCTCATACATTGTGACCTGTGAATGATGGCTGTGTCACTGCATTAGAGGAAAACCAGACACTTCCATTGCCAAGAATAAATCTTGGGCTAAAACCTAATTTCATGTTGAGCATGGTGGTGTGCACCTATCCAACACTAAGGAGGCTGGGGTAGGATAATCACTGTTTGTGGCCAGCCTGAACTATATAGCAAGACCCTGTCTCAAAAAAACTAAAAATCAAAATGAAACCAAAACCAATTTCATATGAAAGTTCATATAATTTTAGTGTTACATTTTAAATTTTATAATATTAAAACTAGTCTTTGTGTTCTGTTACATTGGAAACTTCAGTCTCAAAACTAAGATTATAGTTTTTATTTGCATCTTTCTTCTGATACTTTTAATGTTTAGTTTCATCTGTAACTGTGGTAGCCACTTACATGCGTTTCAGCATATGACCGCTTTTAAAGAGCAAACGGTTCATCTCACTCAGAAAACTGAGACTCAGAGAGGTTTAGTAATATGGCTAAGGTATGACAGCTAAGAAGTAGAACAAAGGCTACTGGTTTTCAGTTTTTTTCCTAGTACTGGGGACTCAACCTGAGGGTGCTCTATCACAGGGCTGTGTCCTCTGCCCTTTTTATTTTTTGAGGTCCCAAACTTGTGATCCTCCTGTTTCAGCCCACTCAGTGGTGCAACTTCAGGTCTGCACAGCTGTGCTTGCCCACTATCTCTGCTTTCTTAGGACTGAACTGAATATCTGCTGCATATCAAAATGGAATTTACCATATTTTTTTCCTCTTAAAGATTTCTTTATTTCCTTTTTTGTATATGTGTCTTTAAGGTTTTTGATAAGAATGAAAATATTTTATGTATTCTGAATTTATGATCTTTTTACATTACACTATAGTGTGTTCATTTACAAGCCGGGGATTTAGCTTAGCCATATAAGTGCCTGCCTGGCAAGCACAAAGTCATGAGTTCAATCCTTGGTACCAAAAAAAAAAAAAAAAAAAAAAAATTGAAGGTTACATGCTGGTTGTGGTGGCCCATATCTGTAATCCTAGCACTTGGGAAGCCGAGGCAGGAGGATTGCAGTGAGTTTGAGGCCAGCTTGAACTGCATAGCTTGACCCTGTCTCAAAATAAATAAATAAATAAATAAAATAAGTTAAATTTTTTTAAAAAAGGAAGTTACTTAAAAGTGGAAGCATGGAAATTTCGGGAGACTTTGTGGATGAACCTTGTGTTTTATGTCTAAAGGCTCAGGACTGCACTTACTACCATCATGTCTGAAAGTTGCTGCAGTAAGTTCTGGGACTCGCTGCTGCCATGCTCTTTGCAAAATCTAACTCTTGCAAAATCCACAGTGTACTGTTTCTTAAACCCTGAGGCCATGGCCTCAGATGGGGGTTGTTCTTCTGAGGTAGTAGCGTGCGAGGCTGTGGCACACAGTGAGAGCACTAAGTGACACCCAGGGCTTCTTGATGTCTTTAAGCCTCTCAGAAGTGACATTATTTGAGGAGAATTTCTTGTGGTGTCAGAGCTACAAAGATTTTGTTGGTTTTACTGTCTGTATCCTCAATGACAGTGTATTATTGCTCTAGACAGCAAACTGAGGCCATCTCTGAGTGAGATGCTGCCACCCTGTTAATACTCCACATGGATTGTCATTTGAGGAAATACTGACAGACAAATGAAAGCAATCTCAAGATAGAATTTAGTAACAGTGTTCTTTGTGTTAAATGTATTTAAATTGGTGGCCTTGTAAATACAGTCATTACAGAAAACACAGCGGATCATATCAAGAGCTGAAAATTCTTGTATCCATAATATAGCAATTTTGGAACTAGATTTTCTATTATTCTGTCTTCCAGCCTGAATTGGAAGATGTAGAAAAAAATTTCAAAGCCCTCTGTCACTTTCTTTTTTTTCCCCTTATTTTCTTTTTATTTGATTGCCAGTATATTATTTCTTTATATATAATGTACTTCTTTAAATAGTATTTAGTTTTTCAAGGACTTAGTTTCTGTCTCCTGCATTCTTTTATTTAATCAGAGATATAAATACAGAAAATTATATCTAGGATTTATTTAGTAATCATATGTCAAACTAAATTCTGTATTCTTTTAAACATAAAATCATTTAATGCTAAAATACTGTGAGATACAAAATATGACATGTGTAATAAGAAAACTGAAGCCCAGGGAACTTAACTATTCCTGATTAAAAACCTAGTGTAAGGTAAAAGCATGGTTTGGTTGTAGGCCTGCTGCTTCCTGAATCTGGAAGGATTCTTTTTTGTGTATTGTATAAATAAATGTGTCCTATGAAATAATTTTGTACTTTAAGTGTTCACTTTGTTATTTATTGCTACGGCCAATGAAGGTTGAGATTGTAAACAGAATTTTACAGAGTAAGTTAAGAAAATTGCTGCAAGTGTAGCTAATGTTTATTAGAACTCTTGTTTTATTGTGATAAAATCTAAGTAAAAAACTTTGAAAAGTGATAAGACACTGTTTTGTTCATTTCACTAAAAGATCTTGTAAAGAAAGCATGTTTACCCAACTCCATAACTCTTGATAAAATTTTGGGGTAGATATAAGAAACCATACCTAGGAAAAAGATGAGGTATGGCATTATTTGTAAACCAAAAGCATTCAGTAATTTGTAAGCACTTAAAAGTAGCAGTGCCTTTCCTGTTGGCACTTAAATTTGGAATGTACCACATGGTGCCCTGGTTCCCAGGGTAGAGTTTTAAGCAGGGCTGGATGTGAAGATGCCCTCAGAGAGAGGTGCTGGTTATTATCTTCAGCTGACCTCTCTACAGGTCACAGTGTCCCTGCTATTTTTGTAATTAATCATGTAACTCTTTAAAAAATGTACAATAACAAATGTAAATAGTAAATTTTTGTGTGTTTGTGTATCTGTGCCATTGACTTTTACTACTCTCATGGTTCTGTGTTTCCTTTTAAGTATCTTAGGAATGTTTTAGAGACTGCTTAGTATGATACAAGAAAAAAAAAACATGTAAGAAGATTCATCACTAATCAAAAACTACTATACTGAGTATGGATTTAATTGATAAAGTGGGTAAAAATAAATTTCCTATATTAGTAAACTGAAGTATTTAAATTTCAGGTGACCACACAGATGTACAATTTGAGTAACTTGATTTGAATAGCCATTTGATTTCGTCTATGTGGTTCTTTAGTGGGAAAGGTAAAAATGTTCAGAAATGTTAAAATAATGTCTATTTTTCCATGCTGGGTTGGTTTCATTTTCTTTCTCCTCACTTAATTCTTGGTGCCCTCCAAAATAGAACTTACTAGTAAATGGTGCTTGTTTGTAAGCATTTAAAGGATCTGTTCTCTACTATGCAGTTGTGTGCCCCTTTTTCTTGTTATATTTTGTTTCAGTTTACAGTCACGATTATGATTATTCAGTGCAAATCTTTCTCTTTGCTGCTGAACTGTAAGCTCTACAAGCTCTGGGAATCAAAACTGCCTATATTGTTTATCTAATATCTTGAGCAGTTATCACAGTTACTGAAACAAAAAAGTTCTTAGTGAATACTTACTGAGTGACTAAAAGTTTTATTATCTTTACTTTTCCATGTATGTAGGATGGCATTTCAGTAAAGGTTTGCTAAGGCAAATTGAAAAGAAAAAATGAGGTTGCTGTATCTGAATAGTTCCTTTACATTAATTATGAATTTTATAAGTGAGCAAAGATTATATGTGGTCTTAGGTGTGTCTTTTTAAAATGTTTTCAATTGAAACTAATAATGTCTACAATTTTTTGAGAACTTTATAATGTGCCAGGCATCATGCTAATCTCTCAATATACTTTGATCTAATCTAACTTCAGAATCATTAAGTGTACTTTAATATACTCGTTTTACGGAAGAGGTAATTGAGACTCAGGTCAAATAATTTATCTAAAGCCATTAAGCAAATCCAGAGAGAAGTGGTATTTAATCTATGATTCTGTAATCATCCTTAAACATCCTTGTGTTTTCATCCTTCATACAATCCTAAGTGATACACAAGTCAGCAAATTCCAGAGTAACTCATGGAAGGTAAGTTGTATGTCAGTGATTGAAAAGTATTAGATAAGTAAAAACAAAACAAAACAACTTGTGATCCAGTAATTGCAGTGATTTTAATAATATGGTTATGAAAGTAGCCTGAGGATGCTTTTTTTAGTACTTAGGTGCTTGGTTTACTCTGAGTTTTTGTAACTTTTTGTTTTTTATAATTCTTGTAGGTTTGAGTGGCCGTTTCTTTGTCACCACTCTCCCAGCCTTTTTTCAGTAAGTTTAAACCATTTTCTGGTCTTGCAAAGATTAAAAATCAGTAGATATATTTCAGGAATTCTGAAACGTTTTCTGTGACTACTCATTAGTGTAATAGTGGAGGAGAGAACAAGAGCACTGCTCTGAATGGTACTGGCGCAGAGTGAGTGCCTGGAGTATTGTGGAGAAAGAGGACCTTCATTTTAGGCAGGGAACAGGTGGGGAGAGGGGCCCAGAGGTGTTTCTCTTGATTTAAAAAGCAGGACATTCTTGTTAGGTAAATTGGGATGGATTAAGCTGACAAGGTGGAGAAGATCTTCCTAGACAAAGGAAACCAAAAATTCAGGCTCAGGAGAAAAGGAGACCTGAAAATTATAACTCTCAGTATTGCTAGCCCATAACTGTGGTTGGATCATGCTGGGTGCTAAGGCCAGATACTTATGATATAGCATTATTGGAGCTTGGTGACTGATTATCTATGGGAAAGAAAGAGTTTTATGATACTTATGAACAAGTAAGTGCTGTTGTTGTCTAAGGCCAAGGTAAGGAGGCCTTAGAATAAGATGAGCTTTGGGAGATAAAGCTAGAATGGAGACGATAGCATGAAGTGTATATGTTAATTCCACATGGAGAAATTTAGGTGGCAGTTTGATGTCATAACCTAAAGCTCAGAAGGAAGATCTAGCCTGAAGATGGATATGCGGAATTTCTCAGTAGTAAGATACATAACATTAGAAATATTCCTGTATCTGCTGAGAACACATACAAGGGAGGAGAGGCAGGTAAAGGGTAGAACCTGAAATTGACCAATACTAGAACATCTTTCTTCAGTGAGTGAAGGAATTGCGAAGGGATTGTCAGAAGAGTGGGAAGAAGCCAGAGAACACAGGACTTAAACTAAATGGACTAGAGGCATCGCTCAGTGGTGGAGCACTTGCCAACATGTACTGGGCCCTGGGGCTGTCCCCTACAATGGGGTGGAGAAGTCAGGTTGAAAGAGAAAGGCAGGGATGTTCAGTAGTGGATGGTGGCAATGAATAGGCAAATGCGAAATACCCCGAGTGCTCCATGAGTATGGCACTGGGAATCACTGAAGCTCCTCAGCCTGTGCAGGTTCCCTGGAGTCCTGTGGGTGGAACCCCAACCTCACTGAGCAGGGAGGAGTACTGAAGAAGAGAAAATAGCCCGTGGAGACCTTTCCCCTGGGACACTTGACTTCAGAAAGGGCGAAAGGGTGGGAGTGGTAAGGGAACTATGAGACTAAGCAGAACTGGTATTCATTTTGAGGTGAGGGACTTGAATGATATCAATTTGAAAATGTGTATACAATTTTTAAACTGAAAATGGTGGCTTTTATACTATGATAGAAGTAAAAATAATTGGTAACAAATAATAAAAGGTAGCTCGATAGATTAAGAATCACCATGAACTTTGCTATGGATACAAATTCTATAATGACAAAGTATAATGTTTAACATTTTTTAGCTTTCAAATATCTCATTTGTGACACTAAAAATTATGCATGCCTTCTGATTTATGCTTAACTATAATTTTCTTCATTTTATCCAGTTAAAAAATTTCAGTGGCATTCACATGTATGGACAATAATTATTTTAATATTTTATATTTATTATCCATAACACCTGTTACGTTGACTCATTTATTACTTGCTTTTTTTTTTTTTTTTTTTTTAATCTGTAGTGCAAAAGATGGGATATTCCGCCGTTACCGAGGCCCAGGAATCTTTGAAGATCTACAGAATTACATCTTGGAGAAGAAATGGCAATCAGTTGAACCTCTGACTGGCTGGAAGTCCCCAGCTTCTCTAACGTAACTCATTAATTTTTGGTGATATAGTGTTATAAATAAAACAGTGGTATCAAGTTTGTCTGTAGGACTTAAAAGCCTGTATTTTCCTCTGTAATCGCTATTGGTGATCCAATCCACCAATGTCCATGATTGGCCCAAGTAGTGTTTCTGGTTTTGTGGATTCAGTTACGTTTAGGGTAGTTTTTAGTCATCTGAGAGTTAAGTAGCCAGATTTGTGTGAGTGACAAAATGCTTTTTTTCCAGTGCTTGCTTGAAGCTATGCCAACCATTTCCTCTTTAAAAAAAGGTGTTGAACATCTTTTTCTTGTAAATTATTGGTAAGGTGCAGAAGCAGCTCTTTCTTGAATTATAGTCTTTGAAAGAATTGCTATTATATCTTACATGGAAAATAAAACCTATGATGTCTTTGGCTTGCACAGTATTCCTGGGGTAAGTTTTGGCTATGGTGCTGAACCATAATAACTTTTTCCTCAGTTGGTTTTGATTTTGAATGGTCATCATTTATAATTAATTTTATTTTAGCCTTCACAGGTATAAGAACTATCCCTACTAAAATAGGAACAGTTGGTATGGTGTTTCAAGAGTAAATTATCTAATGTCATCTATATTAATATTCAGGAAGTATAGAGTTTACTCTAAAAGGAGCTCACTTCTAGCATTGTCTTCTTTAAAAAGGTGAGCATTGATTTTATGCCAGAAATTGCTTTAGGTGCTGGGCATTCATCAGTTGACAAGACAGTCACAGCTCCTCAATTCCATACAGATAAGTTTAAGTAAATAGGGCAGATTAGGAAAAAATCAGTGACACAAAGAATCATAATCTGGATGGGGCAGTTAAAGATCAACATACTTTATTAAGAAAGGGAGAAACTGGAGTCTTAGGTCTACCTTAGAGCCATTAGCAGAGGTTGCTCTGAGGGGAGGATTAGAAGTGAAACCTGAAGGATAGAAAATACTGGCCTGGATACAGAGCAGGGAGACAGATATTCATAGGAAGAGTATGGCTTTCACATAAGCCCCAGCTCGAGGAAGAGCTTGGTGTGCCTGGGTAGTCTAGTGCCAAGCAGAGGGAGCTCAGTGACACAGAGGGGCCGTGGCATGAGCTGAGTGAGAGGCAGATGATACAGAACTGTGGCCATAGTGAGGACCTTGGTAGTTATCAGCATATGCAGTGAGAAGCTGACTCTTGGGAGAAGGAATTGAAGACAGCAAGAAATAATGAGGAGGGACAGAGGCTTTGATAGTTTCCAGTGCCCACCCCCATGTTAGACGAGGGTGGCAGCAGTGGGGGTGGAGAGTGAGTGCATTTAAACCATATTTTGAACACCTGCCTATGGTAAAGAGGGAGGATTCTCAAGTAAAAACTCCAGAGTTTCATGTTTGAGTGCTTGGTAGATCTTGGCATCTGCTCTAACTTGTACAGACAAAGTTAGGTAATCTGGTTGGATTTGAGAAGTTTAAGATGCCAGCTTTGTAGAGCTGTAGAACATAGAGCTGAGTCTTCATGGGGAATTCAGGAACATTTAGGTGGTGCTCAGAACCCTAGGAAGGAAGGAAGGGAAGACCTAAAAAGAAAGAAAGGGAGATATGCTTGGGATTGATCTAGGAGCCATTCTTATGTGAAGAAGTTGAACAGAGAATGAGTCAGCACAAGGACACTGAAAACAGTTGCTAATGAGGCAGGTGGAAGAGAAATGAGGTACCATTTTCTAGAAGCTAACTAAAGAGTGCTGAAGAAAGACAGTAGTTATCTGTGTCTAGTGTTAACACAGAGGGGAAAGACCAGGTCTTGACCTGGACATAGAATAAAGCAAGGTGAGGTCATCCTGGCCTTGGCAAGCAGTCATAGTGTAATGGTTAGGCTGGAAGTCAGGGTTGAATGGGTTAAAGATGTGATGCAGAAGACATGGCAAGGGAAGAAGACCTCTCGGGAGAAACTTGTGGATTGCTCTTTTTAAAAGGTGGGAGCCAGCAGAACATGTTTGCCTGCTGAGGAGACTAATGTAGCAGAGACAGAGAAATTGCTAGTGTAGGAGGAACAGATGACAGAAAGAAGCAAGTCATTAATAAAACAAAGGGGATCAAATTCCAGCACAAGGGGAAGAATTGGACCCTGGTATAGCAGATAGATTTTCCTGTTGAAAACAAGAGGTATATGTAGGTGTGGACCAGGCTCAGATTTGGTGGGGAAATGGCTTCTCATAAGTGATCCACAAAGTGTGTGTTAGCTGAGAGTCCTTGGGGAGGGGAGGATGTATAGAGTTTAAAGTGAGGGAAAAGAAAGTGAGCTATTATCTCAGTGCCTGAATATGCAAGACTAAGCCATACTGGGCCTTCCCTTCCCTTATAGTTGGGAGTCAGCTGGGCATGGGCTTTTGCCCAGGAGATTCAGCTGTTTGGGGTTGGGCTTTTGCCCAGTATGGAAAATGAAGGGATAAAGAGCCAAGGAATGAGAATATATTTTCAGCAAAGTGAGTCACGCGATGGCCTTGGAGTCTAAACTCTGTAAAAGCAGAGGTGAGTCTAGTGAGAACAATAAACAGCAACAAATGGCAGGATCAGTGAAGGGAAAGTACCACTGACCACTAACCTGAGTTTTGTTTTACTTTGCTTTTCATATTATACCCATAACCAGTGTTTCCTTTCTTTATTTCGTTTTTTTAGGATGTCTGGAATGGCTGGTCTTTTTAGCATCTCTGGGAAGATTTGGGTGAGTAATCTTAAAATAAAACCATTATACTTGCAGAGAGATTTTTAAGAATAGAAATATAGCTTTTAAAGACTAGGCAAATACATGTTTATAAATACTTTTATAATTGTGCTTTGTTCTTGAGCCACAAGTGGTAATGTATCTGTGTGTAAAGGTCATAATTTGAGCAGTGCCCAAATTATGTTGAAGTCATATTTTTTTAGATTAGTGCTGGAGTCCTTATCAAAGCAGAAGGGCTTGTGTAGTTTTACTTTGTCATATGGTCCCATTGGCAAATCCCTTTAGGATCAAAGATTGTCTAAGCCTAAAAGCAATTCTGTATGTCAGCAGTCAGTGTACTACAGCTTGTGGGTGGGCTGCCTATTTTTGTAAACACAGCTTTTATTTGAACAGTCTGTTGTCTATGACTGTACTTGTACTATGGTGGTAGAGTTGAGTTGTTGGAGAGATAGAGTTGTGACCTGCTAGTTTAGTTACTATGGATTCTATAGGAAAGTTTGCTGAACCCTGCTATTTGTGATTTTAGTCATTTTAGTATATTGTTCAAATTAAAATTGAGCTATTATGTAATTTTGAGTATGCTCTGTGATCTTTTGTTTCTTGTTTCTGTAGAGAAGGCTGAACCCAATAGATTTAGTAAAAGTGCCCTGGAATTAAATACAGTCTAAAATATTTTTAAATAAATCTTTAGACATGAACTCCAGTATATGTCTTTTCTAAGATATCATTATAGGTTATTGCGACATATTTGGAAATTCAGATTCATGGAGCTCATGAAGATTGCTTTTTACACACACTGATACAGGGGAAATTTAAGATCAATCGTTTATGTTCCAGGTTCTTAGTTATATGTTTTGTCTTGTGAGACAAAGATTTCTGGTTTTTTTTGTTTGCTTGCTTGCTTTTTTACAACTGATGCTAATCAGAAACTTGAATTCAATCTTTTATGATTAAAATTTAACTTTTAGGGCGCTTTTATCACATTAAATACCATAGTAACTAGTAATCCCTTCTCTCCACAAAGTTTATTTCATGTGGTTTCATTCTGCTCTTTTATTAACACTGCTGAGAAATTTAATCAACTGAGAATTATGATTATAAACTGGGAGTTGAGTGAAGGAGATTCTGCTTTTTGCAGTGTGTAGATATTAAATGCTGATAAAGTCATACAGTCTGATAAATTCTGCAAGACAGTTAAAGTAAATGGCTGTCTGACAGTTCGCTCTTAGCCCAGAACCAGTGGTAAAAGCAGACGGAGAGAAGAGTTTGACCTGCAGGTTCAGAAGAGTTTAGATGGATGTTGTCTTAGCCATCACAGATGGTTAAAGAGAAGTTCTATTTTCAAAGACTGTATCAGGGAAGAGAGATAACTGGCACATGGTAGAATCTAGTGCTTGACTTCTTATGCAGAGATCCAATCCTGCTGTCTCAGCAGGTCCCTGGTTCCTGCTTCTACCTTAAGGCCCTGGCCTTGCTGCTGGGTGAGCTCATTTAGGTGGCTCTTATTTTTACTCAGAAACCTCACATCAAGATTGAATCTATAATTTTGTGGAATATAATCTATTTTTAACTCATGTAAAAGTATAGTGCAACCATACTAGGTAATGAATAAAAGAAATGTGGCCAATGGGGAGAGAGGATAAGTCAGTGGGAGACCACAGAGAAGGCTACAACCAGGGAAAGTAAAGTCTCAGAAAAAGAAGATAAAGACATGCAAGTGGGAAGGAAATAGCATGGCTAATGCCACTGAAATCAGGTAGTTGAAGCTTACCTATAATCTCCTTTATCCTGCTGAGATTTTTTTCTTCTTTTTTCTTTTTTCTTTTGATCTTTTTCCTTTTTATTGGTACTGGGGATCGAACTCACAACTGCCTGCTTGCAAAGCAGGCGCTTACACCGCTGAGCTAAATCCCCAGCCCCTCCTGCTGAGATTTTTGTGGCACAGATTTAGCAGTTTGACTTTCCTCAGCCATCAACTCTTCCACATGGGTAGTTGATTAGATATAAATACTTCCAAAGAGAACAATATAGGTTAGTAATATGATGGAGTAACCAAACAATAAAACTGTGTATATAGAAAAATACCTACAGAGAGCTCAAGTAGCTATCAACAATATTTTTCCCTAATATTGGAATGGCCAATTTCTTAACAGCCCATCATCCTTTTCTGTAATTTCTAATGTCTCTGTAGTGGGAAAGAAACAGTGAAAACAATAGTGGTATCTAGAAGATCGGGGCCTGCTGCTAGTGATTTCCTTAAAGTTCTTGAGTTTCTGCCACAGGAGGGAAACCAATTCACCCCTCTGACATTCTAGGTGTAACAGCTGGTCTTGGGAGGGGAGCAATATGTGCATTTACCCAAATGGCTGAATTTCTGTGATTTCAGGGGTTTTATTTGGGTTGCATTTGGCCTTTATAACCTTATACCAAACTTCGATATTTTCCTGCTTGAATAAATCTTTGAGTGCAGTCCTTTGAAACAGCCTGATCACACAGTCCCTGTGAGCTTCCTGCTGTTACCATGATTCCCAGGATCTGTTGAGAGGTAATTTGTGCCACCATGAGGAGAAGAGATGATCTTCTCCTTTCCATCACCAAATTCAAATTGTCTTTCTAATCTGGTCATGATGGCATTCACATGAATGTTTATTCTTTACAGAAATAACTTTAATCGTCAAAGAAATAATTGACAGTCAGCTATGGTTTTGTCCTCATGCTTAGTCTTGAAACTGTACATGCTCCCTTATAGAATGAGTCACTGAAGCCTAGGAAGTACATGTTTAAGTTGTCTCAAAATACAAACTGATTGATTTTCTATTATGGTAATAATATAAAATTTCTTTAAAAAATTTAAAGGTTAAAAAAATGGCTCAAAACGTGGTTGAAAAAAAAAAGTGTCTTCATGGAAATGTTAATACTGTAAAGAACCACACAGGATGAGGTGAACATCATGAACATGACATGGAGGAGGTTGGATTTCCTGATGCACCACCATTCTGTGTGTTGTCACAGAATCAGGTGTCCTGGAGGGCTGAGATTTTGTTCATGGCACATGTGTGGAGAGAGGCACTCCCGTCTTCCTTCCTGTGTTCTTGTCTCTTCAGTTAGCTATGTGCTGCAGAGAGGCCTGTCATCTGCTGCAGGAGCACAGGCTGTTCCTCCCTCCCTCTGTGCGTGGTTGGGAGCCCGTTTGTTTTCCTGTCATGGACTCTTACCAGCACTCCATGTGCTTACCATGGGACCTGGCATGGGCTGTACTTGGTAACTGCTTTTGTTATAGTCATTAATCACGGTTGTCTTTGCTATCTTATGTTTCTCTCTGGTTATAGGTAGCACCTATTTATTTATTTTTTTAACCAAGGCAAATAATAGGCTCAGAGTACAGTTTGATGACACATTTTGCTAAGTAGATTTAGTACTTAAATATTTATAAAACATTACTATTTCAGATTTGGTGCACCCATCCTATTTACCAAGTAATGTAGGATATAACTTGCCTATCTTATGTGTTAGTGTTGTTAGGAAAAGATGTAGGTATAAGTGTGATGCACCCTTGGGAGGACTGACTGTCATGGCTATTTGTGTCTTCCCTTTCAGTTAGAATGATGTGTAACAGAAGAGTTAAGACTTTCTAAATATCTGATGATGTGAAGTCAAGGCTGTGAGTTTAAAATTTGAAAACATTCACCTGTGATGTAGATAACAACATCACTTCTCTTACTGTTTTCCCCCTTTACAAAAATGTCTAGGCTGTTTTGTTAAATGTTCAGTAAGGTGGTGCCCATTCACGGGATGATTCTCATGGAGACTGTAAGCCACTGAGGGGTGGGGTCTTACTCTGCGATATGTAGACAGAAGCTTCCTGGCTCATCACAGAGGAGTCCTTCCTTGCTGCTCCCAGGCAGGGAGAAATTTGGGAGATTCTGATTTGTGTGTGAAATGCACCAAGCACTTGTGCTCGGGGTATATATCTTAAGATACAGGCATGCTCTATATTTAAAGGCTTTCCACCCTTCAGGGCCAGAACAACTTTGGTTTTTTTTTGTTTTTGTTTTTGTTTTTTTTTTAACTTTTTTAAAATTTTATTTAAGAGGAAAAAGAGAAAAACACAAAACAAAACAAAGCAGTGTAAGGGTACACGTAATACAGAACTACAAAAAAAAAAAACATAACAGTAAGAAATCACCTGTTAATAGATTACATATTATCATCTTGAAAATAGTTGCTCAAATCACAGTATCAAAGAATACAAGGTGGACATTCAAACAGGGAGACTGCAAACAGCTGTGTTCAATGATCCAAAAACATTGATATAGTCAGCTATTTAACACCCCTAAACACACTTGCTGTTATATCCGTTAGAGCTCTTTTTTTTCCCTCTCTTTTTTACAACAAAATTTACACATTTTGGATTTTATTACTCCTTAGTGTTTATTACTTTTTTTGGGGGGGGAGAGAATACAGTCAAATATGGCAAAACAAAGCTGTCAGTCAAAACCAAGGATAAACATAGCACATGGTGCAGAACAGAGTACAAGGTTATCAACAATGGTTATCAACGTTGTCTTTTGTTTCCTTAAAAAGAATTGTCTGTCTCATTAGATATTATAAAGTTGGACAAAACAGTAGAGAACAAGACCAATAAAACTTAGGCATTGTAAACATTACAGGACTTCCAAAGAAGACAATAGTCAAACCAGAGTGGGCATCGTAGTGAATCTTATTGCCTTCAAAGTAGTTGCCTATATCCTCAAACTTGATACTATCATACAGAATGGAACAGAGTCTAATCAGTCAAAACAAGATCGTGGGAGTATTACAGGACTTCAAAACAAGTTAATAGGAAATCAAAAAGAGTTACTATTTATATATCCTAAATTTTTTAAATTTTTCCCCTTAATTAAGACAAACATAAGAGATGACTAAATAATTTTTTTTAAAAGAATAAGGGGGAGATTGAGATAAAACAGGACATAACAATATAACAATAGAGGTCAAAGCATGACTGTTTCAGCAACCTAGTACTTCACCACCATATAACCCGACTTAATAGTAGTTACCGTAGTGTCTGTCTTTTTCCTTGAAATATTTGGATAAAACTTCATATACTATAGCTTCAAATATTTCCATATCAAGAAGCCCAGAATAAAGCCTTTCTAATTAATGAGTGAAAACTTTATAAGTCTTCAAAGCCACCTAATGGGGAATCATGATTACCACATATTTTTTATATATTTGAATCATTACTTACATTAGGGAAACTATTCGGTATTCACACATGTGAGATTAATTTATTTCACTTATGAGTATGGTCTCAAGCTGCGCCCATTTATTGATAAATATCTCAATGTGATCCTTCTTTATAGCTGAATAATACTCCATTGTATAGAAATACCACAACTTTTTTATCCATTCCTCAGTTGATGGACACTTGGGTTGTTTCCAAGATCTGGCGATTACAAATTGTGCTGCTATAAACATAGGTGCACATATATCACTGTGGTATGATGCTTTCAGTTCTTCTGGGAATATGCCTAGAAGTGGAATAGCTGAAATAAATGGGATTTCCAATCCCAACTTTTTGAGAAATCTCCAGACAGATCTCCACAGAGGCTGTACCAGTCTACACTCCCACCAACAGTGCAGGAGAGTTCCTTTTTCCCCACAGCCTCTCCAGCATTTGTTGTTGGTTTTCTTGATCCTGGCCATTCTTTCAGGAGTGAGATGGTATCTCAGTGTGGTTTTAATTTGCATTTCTCTAATGACCAATGATGATGAGCATTTTTTCATGTATTTATTTGCCATTTGCATTTCTTCATCTGAGAATTGCGTATTCATCTCAGATTAGGGCCAGAACAACTTTGAATTAGACCATGCAACACGGGGCTGTATTCCCAGGTATCCAGAGTGGCTTTTAGTCAAGTCCGTAATACTTCAGACTGCCAGGGTGAGTGCTGGCTTTTTTGAGCAAAGGAGATTTTTCCCTCTGAATGTGGGGACCTTGGCCTGTTCCATTTCTGAAATCCGTCCTGACACTGGAACATTCTCATTTATTCTGTTAAGATGGTGTTTTCATTTAGACTCCTCACCTGAGTCTGTGTGTAGCCAAAAATTAGCTCAGACTGTCAGTGTATAATAGTACAGGTTATCATGCCCATCAGATGACATTTTATTGCATTTTCAGTAAACAAAGTAGAACATACCCTTGTAATGAGAGTATGTAAGAATGAACAAGAATCAGTATTTTGCACAAGTGAAAACCAATACTAAAGAAACTAAACAGAGACACACAAATCTAAAATTGAACTACATCAGATCAGTCAGTTATCATCTTGGAAACATATTTGTACAGCAGAATTTTAAGTATATAACACCATGAATGCTAATATCTGTAAGGGATCTAAAGCCATTGTGAGCTCAAAGTAAATAAATAATATATTTATATCTGTGATGTGAAAAAGTCTTTAATAATAATTACCTAGAAAACCATAAGATGGCAGAGTTTTGTAAGAAGCATAAATCCTTTTACAAATAATTTAATACAAGAAAACTGAGGTAGGGCTTATTAAGAGGATGTTTTGAAAGTTCGAAGAAATGTTGAATTTAAAATACAATAATTAAAAGTCAAATAATTTACTGATATTTAAAAGTCAAAGTAAGAAAGTTTCTTGAGGATTGCATTCATTATTTTTCAATAAAGGAATAAAACAGTATCCAGAGGCACTCAGCCTGCACAGTATTTATCCCCAAACTTCACTTTATTCATTACAAACACATGAGTAAAATAAATCAGTAAATATTCAAAAAGCAAGTACCAGATTACATGCATGAGTCAGCGATGAGACACAGTTGACTCAACATTTTCTGATTCTTTGGCATTTTTTGCGTTTTATCCTGATGATGGCACTGAGTCATCAAGAAAAGTATAAAGTGTTCAATATACAATATTTCCAACACTGAGAACTGTGCAGCATTTTAGAACTTGTATTGAAAAGAACTTCAAGCTGCTTTTCGATCTCAGATACCTCTTTTGCCTGATGGATTGCAGAATGCTAGACTGTTCTTAAGAAACACTTGTCTTGGCGTTACTCAAACTAATGACCAGTGCAGTCAACAGAGGACAGATGATGGCTTTACAAATCAAGAGCTTATTTGTGTTTCCTGTGAATGGTTTAAGTATTTAATATGTCTTTCTTATTCAACAATGTTGAATTGAATAATTTGACTCCATTTGTTATTGTTTAAAATACTTGCTGAGTCTTTATCAGATTATTTTAGATCACTTACTAAACTTTTTTTTGCTTGTCTGTCTTTAGAATTAAGACAAAATAAAGTATTTTATTGTTTGACATAAGCTAAGAAACCAATGAAAGTTATTTGGATTTTGAGGAACATGAAACTAAAATAGAAACGTGGACTTACTGCATCAGATTCATCTGTGCTTGCAGATGATACCTAAACTTGGAACTACTTAATCCAGTGTCTAGTAATTGCTTAAATTATATTTAATGACATTTTACAAGCCTTATAGATCAAAACATATGACTAAATCATCATGAGGAAGCATCTTCCCAGAAAGTCCATATTTAAATAAGCTGTGACATGAATGAGCAGGTTCCTCTCTGTAATTTCTGGGATTTAGCATGTACACAATTCCTACCTAAGATTATGTCTCTTCATTCATTTTTATGTTTATCATCCCAGAGAATAGTAAGCATTAAAGGAGGTACACTGTGCTAGAAGACAAATGAAATTTTACTTGTTCAAGATGAATTAGCTGGGAAACCTGTCTTTATTTTGTGTTTGGGGTAGATAGAAGTAGAATTGTAAAAACCTGACTACAAAAATATTGAGACATTTGAAATGGTTAGCATTCACTAAGTACTCATTTAGGCTTATCAAAAATTGATAAAGAGCCAAGAAGTTTCATTTTTAAAGAATGCCATATTATGATTAAATATGATATGTATATAATTATTAGTTGAGAGGCACCAAAAAACCATGATGGAAGAAAAGACTAGAAAAACAATTTCACCACACTTTTATCTAGATCCTAAACGCTAAGGAAATTTGCCTCATAGTAGACATAACCTTGACTATTACTCATTGTTTTCAGTGCTGTAAAATTTGCATTGTTTGTTAAGAATTGTTTGGGTACTTAAACCTTCATAGAACTTATGTAGAAGAGATAGTTGGCAGATTGGAATTATAGCTAACAAAAGAGATTCAAGTTATTTTTGGTTCTTATTACAAGTAAAATTTTATTCTTTCCGTTTTGATTTCAGCATCTTCACAACTATTTCACAGTGACCCTTGGAATTCCTGCTTGGTGTTCTTATGTCTTCTTCATCATTGCCACTTTGGTTTTTGGGCTTTTGATGGGTCTGGTAAGAAGTAATGCTTCTCTTTTTTTCTTATTTATAATGTTCTTTTTTCTTTTTTTAAAAGCAAAGTGGTTTTCACATTAAAAACCCAAGGAAAAAAATGCTTAAACATTCTGTGTATAATTTAAGCATTTATATAGCATATGCTTGTTTGATTCTGCTTGAGTAATGACAGTATAAGATAAAATGAAGAACTGATGTATTATCTGCTCATCTTGACTCCTAAATATTCTCAAAAATGTGTGGTGTAAGAAAAAATAGAGACTTCTTGAATTGATAGTCCGTTTTCAAGGCAACCCTGTCAGCCACAAGTTCACATACTACCTACTTGATTAGAACATGGTGACAGTACGACCAGAGTTGTGAATTTGTTCCGTGGGGAGATGAAAGATTATTTTTTCTTGTTTCTATCCATCAGTTGAACCTCTAGTCTTGACCAGCTAATGGGTTTTCCTGAGGTGGATTTTGTAAGATAATATAGATAAAAGAAGAATATGGAAAAATATAAGATTCAAAGGAAATCACCTCATCTTTCGTGAGCATGAAAATCAGTATCCAGTAGGCATCTGTGCATTTTATCCCTAGATATGTCAGATGAGAATTTGAACAGTAAATTTATTTTCTTAACTAGACAGGCAACTCTAACTGGTTTGATAGCTAGGGAGCTCAGACGTAGCAATGAAACCTAGCTGCCTACATTAATCAGGTCCCATGTATATCCTGACCTGTTGCACACCTGTAATCCCAGAACTCTGGGAGGATGAGACAGGAGGATTTAGAGTTTGAGCCCAGCCTGGGCAATTTAGCTGGACTTTGTCTTAATTTTTAAAAATGAGTTGGGCATGTAGGTTGAATCCCAGCACTGGAGGAAAAATTTTGATATGTGTTATTTTTTGATACAATTTTTTATCTTCCTCTTCACCTTTACTTGATAAACTTGATTGCATGTTAAACTCTACTTAAGAGTTGTTAGTAATTAACTCCTAAGGATAATTAGTGATTACAAAAGACTAGACTTTATGGTAACATTATTTATGGTAAATTTGGTTCTCTAGCAAAGTCTTTGTTAAAACAAGCTTAAAATGTTAGCAGTTGACTTAAGAGGAACTCACAACTTGATGTGACAAAGAACTCCAAGGAACCAAGAAAGTTTGGGGTTTTTTTCGCTGTGAAGAAGCTTTTGCCTTGTCATAGCTTGTCTTTGAGATACAGCTGTGGATACTAATTTCAGAGATGGAGATGAAACTTAACTGTCTATATTAATTAGGTCCCAGATATGCCCTGTTCTACCGTATTCATCATATTGCTAATTAACATGTTCCCATTGCCCTCACTTAAAGGGATTTGATCTGACTTTGGCTATAAATAGAGTGCAGTCGTCAGCACTTCTGTCGATTGTGCATGCTACAGTTTTCTGCTAGTGTGTTCTGTGGCTACATGAATGTGTGACTTTTGCAAAAGGAACATATTAGGTTCTTGTATGCACTGCCTCCAAGTTTGTGCTTGACCCGGGGGTGGACAAGGATGAAAAACAAAAAGACACAAGTAATTGAAAAAGAGGGGCCAGCAGACTCTTGCCTGTGGTGTACAGAGAACCCTGAACGTTTTGTTCATCTCACTTTTATTTACTTAGGCACAGGAACAAACAATTAAGAGTGGCACAAGATTTGTCTGCCTCCTATTATCTATAACCAGATCAGTAAGCAAATGTCAGCTGTGTTGACTCTTCCCTGGAACTTACAATGTGCTAACACCAGGCTCATGTGCCAGAGAGGACCAGCTTACCCTTGCCTCCTTCGTGTCTACAGGGAAGGTCAGTTAGGCCTCCATCCTCACTTGGTCTCCTACAGGTCCTTGGTGAGTCAAAGATGGAGACAGGTTATATAGGGTGAGTGGAAACCTATTCAAACCCAGTGAAAACTCCACTTAGCCTAAAAAGCATGAAACTTAATTTTTCAGGCTTACTTTGAGAAATTGAGTCAGGCCTGCTTATGAACCTGATTCATTTGGAATGTGAGATTGAAATATAACAGTACAGAAAGTTTACTGTAGACTTGGCCTAAAGAAAGGAGAAGTTGTTCAAGTGACTAAGTGGGATGCACTATCATTCCTGTATAAGAAATTGGGAAAATAACTTTATTTTACAAAATAATCCATTAATATATTTCCAGAAAGTAGCATATACCTATCTATATTCAGAGTGCCTTTTTCAAGATTGTAAAGTATGTAAAGTTTTTGCCTTAAGTAGTCTTTAATTTCTTAGGTACTTTTTAATGTTTACCTTTGTGAATCAGTTAATATAACTAAAAATAGTGCAATATTACCTCCTTTTAAACTGTTTATTCCAGAATGGCATTTTTGTTAACTTCAGTGACTACAGAAGTGTTTGCTAATTATGTTCACATCTTAATCACACAGAGAATGATGTTGGGGTAGTTCCCTAGAGTAAAGGACTTTGCTGGACAAAGCTGCTTGAGGAGGGCTCTGAATGCCCCAGAGGAGCAGCTGCCCCATGTGCTTCTCAGATCCCCTTTTCTCTTTTACCTACCAATTCTTTCTCCTACCTACCTCTTTCTCCTACCAACTGAGTCAAGATTAAATGAGTAGTTCACATAGAACAAATGCGATATGGAATTGCTGAGCATGGGATTTCTCAAAATAGAAGAGTAGAAATTGGCCTAGTACATAAACGAAAGTGCCTTTGGAATGCTCTGTCTGTTTGATTCTCCCCGGAGACCTTGCAGACAACAGTTATTTTATAATCGCTTGCCCTTCTTTGTCACTGAGTCAGAACTGGAAGTGAGACCCTCAGGTATGGAGTTTGGTGGTCTGTGGTGCCTTTGCCATCAACTGGGGCTGAAAGCCAGGCCCATACTTGCAGATATATGGACCTTCGTGCTGGTGACCTTTGGATTCTCCTATCTCTTTTGAGTCTTCATGGAGTTTAACTTGCGTAGCACTCAGGTGGGCAGGATGTTTCCTTTAAGATGTGTTCTTGATTGATTGCTTTTCATAAGCTTCACTTTTATGTCAGTTCTGTTATCTCCTTGAATTTTGAAAAATGGGTAACTAAAACAAATCTACTTCAATTTTTGTTTCTTTTTTTGACTGAGCCTCATATTGTTGAAACATTTTACTAACTTTTTTACATGTAAATAAGTGCTCAGTTACACAATCAAATATAAAATGAAACATTTTACTAACTTTTTACATGTAAATAAGTGCTCAGTTACACAATCAAATATAAAATGAAACATTTTACTAACTTTTTTACATGTAAATAAGTGCTCAGTTACACAGTCAAATATATATTTTGTATTTGCAGCCAACATGGGAGAGACTATTAGTGACAGTCTACAGATCACTCAGGCAGCGTTACTTTCAGCTATCAGTGACTTGCCCTGCAGGCTGGAAAGCAGCAAAGTTTTAGACAGTCGGAAGACAGTGATCCAGTGGCTTAGGTCTGATGGCTTTTTAGTTCAAATTGCTCAGTCACAGGACAATGGAAGGCCAGGCTTGATTTTGCCTCTGTTACCTGGTCTCTGTTTTGTCAATATGTGTAGAGACATTGTCCAAATTTTGGTGCTTAAGTATATTCTGTTTCTAGATGGTAATGAGCAGTGCCTGCCTTCTCTAGAATTAGAGGTACGGATGCCACCCTCTGTGAAACCCACCCGCTCTCCTTGTGCACCTGTGTTAGTAGAAACTGAGAACTAAAAAAGTTATTGTTGATGAGAGGTAGATCGTATTCCCCCCATCGACCCTGATTCTAAGCAATGCCACGTTGAATTACCTTAGTTCCACCTTCCAGGGAGTGGTTCTTTAGACCAGAAAATAGCTCTTGAACGGAAAGAATGTAGTGAAAAGATGAGAGGGCTTCCCTCCTAGCTTCCAAGAAGGAAGACATATATAGGACACAGCACTGGTAGACACAAAAAGACGGTGGCTATAGTGTGGTCCAGTTGTCTCATCCTTTTGAGTAACACTGCAAGCTGGAAAGCAGTTGATTTGTCTAAAGTCATACTGCTAATGCAAGACAGGAGTGACACAGGCATCCTGAGAATCTTTTTTGGGGCTCCTGGACCCAGCCAGCCTCTTCAGGGCTCATATATATCATAGATACAGTATATTGACTACTAAACTCCATAGGAAAATACTGTACTTCTTGTTGCTAGAAGGTGTTTATTCTGCCCTTATAATGTGTCAGGACCACAATTTGCCCTCTCCTGGTGAAATTAGGAGAAGGAAAAAGAACACATTATCCCCTCTGGGTAGTTAGTTAGTAAACACAGGACTAACACATTAGAAATGTTTTCTTTGCTGCTAAAATCAATTTAATGGTTTCTTATTACTTTTCTCATTATGGGGAAAAATATTTGCCTACAAGTTAAAGGAGAAAATACTTATTTTTGCACAGTTTGTAGAGGATTCAGTCCACTGTCAGTGGCATGGCAGAGGAGAAACAGTCCAGGGCAAGGTAGGCAGGGGACAGCCTGCCTTCCTTCTGCTTTCCCTTTTAGTTCACCCAGTTTGCAAGCTTTTTGGTTGTGCCACCCCACCCAGGTGGGCCTTTCCATCACATATACCCAGAAATGTTCTAAACCAATCAGTGGGCTGTTTTTGTAGCCACTTTTCCAAAAATCCTACCTATGAACACAGGAGACTTTGAGGAGACATCTAGATATAAGCCATAACAAATGGCTTGGAGCTTGTTGTTCCTTGACACATGGAGCCTTCCTGCATCTCATCACCTCACCTGTGAGTCTCCTCAACCAGGCTTCTGGGGTGATCCCACCTGGGCCAGCATAGAGTAGGCAAGTGGTGTAAGTAGGATGTTGCACAGCTTCTCCTGACAAGGCCCATGGTCTGAATGCCTCCTCTTTCAGGGGGATTCTAGATCCTGTGTCACCCTATAATGGGATGCAACCTCTGTCTCTTAAAGCATCAAAGTTCTTTATTCATTGGGTGAGACTCATGTCCTGTGTTGCTTTATAATTAAACTGACATCGGAGATGTTGAAAGATATTCTCAGATGTCAGTGTGGTAGCTTGAATGTAATGAACCAGATACTGAGTAAATAAGTGAGTATGTACATAGTAGTTATCCTGAATGCAATCATGGTATTCATTTGATGTTTATAAAACATCAAAATCAAAGGGATTATGACTTTGACTTAAAATCTCAGAGTACCTGGAAATAAAACATAGTTTACTTAATAATATTTTTATCTTTACAGACAGGGAAGTTATTCAAAGAGAAGTTAGAGTCCAAGTGTGAGCTAGGCACCAGAACTTTTTGTTTATTTTAAGACATGGTCCCTCGTTTAGTTCAGGCTGATGTTGGACTCTTAGCATTTCTCTAGCCTCAGCCTCCCAAGTGCTGGGATTACAGGATGCACCACCATGTTAGGTGACACAAGAAGAAATGTATCACTTTCTAAACACACGGTTTTCTCCTGATGTTGGATGACTGTCTACATGTTGCTCAGTCACAGATGCAGAAGCCGCTCCAAGTGCCTCTGCCTTGTTGAACACAAGCCTTCAGTTTCATCAGTGTGGTTCTGGTTGGCCCCGAGTATGGGAAATGGACTGGGCTGATCTTGCCCTTAAGAAGCTTGATAAAGATGTGTTTGTGTAGTGGAAAGGAATTCATGTTCAGCGATAGTCAGAGATGAAGCCCAGGATTAGGTGCTATCATTAGTTTTCCCCCAATTGGACTGTGGGGAAGTTTCCTGTGGAACTTATTAAGACTTCTAGGTTTTGACTCATTCTTCCCCTGACTCCAGGGTTATCTGTTGGCTCTGAGGCAGTTCAAATATAGTTTTATTTGTTTAAAGAAGCAATTTTAGATTGAGTACTCATGTCTGTTTGATTCACTTATTTATAGTGGGATTTCTGTAAACTGTTGACTTTGTGGCCCTTCTACATTAATGATATTTTCCTGTATTATGGTACATATAAAATAGGAAATCCTTAATTATAACTATGCCATTTTGAAGACTTTTGACCAGCTGCTAATTATTTTTCTAAGAATGTCTGATTACAGAAGAAAGGCCTGATTTTGAGGCCATTTGGTAATAACCGTAACAATAATCACTTTTCTTTCCCCTAGGTTTTGGTGGTAATATCAGAATGCTTCTACGTACCACTTCCAAGGAATTTATCTGAACATTCTGGTAAGTATAGTAAATTCATGTGGCATAATAGTTTTGTGATTTTATGGCATTCTGTGGTTTGAAGTTCCCTGCTATGCTTTTAGAGATACTGAATTCTTTCCCTGATTTGCTAGTGACCAAACTATTACCACTATCATAGTCCTTAAAATATATTCTTCAGGTAGATTAACATAAGGATTCCCTTTTTCCTCTTGTTTTAAAGTGTATTTCTTATCAGTCATTTTTTCCTTGCAGTTTATACCCTTTATTAACAATTTTTCCTCATTCAAATTGGAACAAGAAAGGAGGGACACTCAAATGTATTGAGTCTCTGCTGTTATGTATTGAGTTTCGTGCTGTCATAAGCTACCCTAAGTTATTTAGAACCAGTCTGGCCACGTCCTTCTCTGTTGACCTGGGACTGAATGGCCCTGGATTTGAGTGTCTTTATTCCTGTTTTTAAGACTGCACAATGCAGTTTGATGCTTTTATTGGGATTTTAAATAAACTCATATTTTTAGTTTTTGAAATTTTTGAAGCTTTGAGACTTGTATAGATATTTGATCCTTAGAATTCTGTTTATTTTTCTTTAGAATTCTTAAATGAGGCAGAAACTTAACATAAAATATGTTAGGGGGAAATAAGTTTTATTAGGTCATAATTGAAAATCCAGGGTGCTCTAGCTTCAAACTCAGCCCATGTGATGTTAAGGGGTCCATGGAGCTTGCTCAGTGGCTGCTACCAGTCCTAACTCATGTTTTAGTTTAACAAATCCTGCAGAAGGAGGCCTTTCTTCTGGAATCTGGCTCCAGGCCTCTGAAAAGTCCTCTGATTGGCTCAGCTCTCATCACTTTTCTGTTTCTTTCACTCTGACGAATGCATCTTTGAGCCTTCTATAAGGTACAAAATACAGAGCATGAAGGAAACTTTGCCCTCCATGCCCAGGTGCTCTGCCAAAGTCAACATGGGCAGCAAAGTCCCTAGAGTGGTTAGAGGAAGCCCTGAATGGGACTTGGGTGCCAACTAAAGCCTTTGTTCTGTATCATACCAGGACTTGAAGGTAGAGAAAATTTCTCCTACTTTTTCATTTCACAGATAAGCACAATTCTTTACTGAATTTCCTCTATTGAATCAGAGTGTTTTTCTCTTCTCTCTACAGAGCAGAATCAGAGATCAGAGGAGGCTCAAGGAGCTGAACAGTTGCAGGATGCAGAAGAGGAAAAAGATGATTCAAATGAAGAAGAGAATAAGGACAGCCTTCTAGATGATGAAGAGGAGAAGGAAGACCTTGGGGATGAGGATGAAGCAGAGGAGGACGAGGAAGTGGACAATGTGGCTGGTGGTGTGAATGAGGAGAGGGGTGATACCAGCGACCAGGGGCACCTGACAGAGGCCAGTGTGACCCAGGTGGAAGTGGAACCTGAGGAGACTGAAGCAGTCAGCCCTGAGCAGCCCTCCTCAGCTGACATAGAGGTGGCCAAAGACTCCCTGAGGCAGCGCAAGAGTCAGCAGGCCAATAAGGAACTGTAGATTTCCTGACACTTTCATCTGGTCTGCAGTTTAAACCAAATCCTTACTATCTCCCTGAATAAGCAAGCTTCTTTCTTGAAAGATGGCCAGTGTGATAGTAAGCCTCATGTATCCTGTCCGAGGAGAATCTTTCAGGCATGACAATCAGACAGAAAACCAGTGGTGTTAGGATCTGTTTGGGGTCTTGGGAAAGTAGCAAATTTATTTATCAGGCTCGAGTCTGCAGCCCCTCCCACGTTAGCACCTTCTAGAAACAAGGAGCCCCCACAGTGAAAGCAAAGCAGCTTCACTGAGCATCCCTGAAGTGCGGCAGAGCTCTTACTTCCTTTCCACATCAGACGTATTCATTTTCGTCAATCTGTACAAAACATCAGGCACCTCCGTGCATGGACACTCTAACTGAAAGGGCAGGGCTCTGGGTATAAATTTAGGAAAGAGCTTGGAAGCCACCCAGTCTCTTGGGATCACCTTTGTTAGGTTTTACTTTTTGCCTGCATTTTTTCAGATGTGTTACTATGGCCTACAGAGTCCCACAGTCTTCACAGTTAATCCTGTGAAGACTCAGCAAGACTGTGTGAGAGGACTCAGATGGTAGCTGGGTCGAAACCACCACATTCATTCTGGCTGAAAGGTTTACATGAGCCATAACCAGAGCCCGTGACACTGAGTGCTGCGTGTCTCAAGTGAAGTGGGGTAACCTTCTGAGATGCAGGAGGAAGTAGGAATTTTATAGAGTGGATAACAAAGGTGTTTTGCCAACATGCAATAGATTTATTTTTCTTTCAAAAAATTTCTTCAGTAATTTTTTTTTTTTTAAGCCAGAAGTGCTCTGAGTCTTGCCAGTACAAGTTAGTTTTGTGAAGAAAATGTGAATGTTCTGTTGTTTTGTTTCTATCTCAAGGTGTTCCCTAGCTTTTAAAACAGTTTAATAATAACTGAAAAATCGTTTCTGGTTTTCCTTCAGTGATGCGCTTTTGGTGAAAAACTTAATGTAAGTCAGTATTGGCAAGTGAAAGAAGACTTGATTTTCTTTCCATCTTCCCTAATGTTCGAGAAAATGATATCTTTGTGTGTCTCACTACTGAGTCTCCCATTAGTACCCAGGGAGCCCAGTTTCTTTTACAAATCCATCCGTCTACTTCTCAGACCTGATTTATGTCTTAGAATTCATAAAACTAGATTCCAAGCATATGAGAGATGCCTGAAGTCAATCCTTCACCCTTTGGGTGCAGACAGAAACATGAGTACCGATTTATGAAATTCAAAAAGTTTGTCATCATTAAAAAGGAGCTTGTGGTGCATTTCTTTCTAGATATCCTGTGACTATGGGCACATCAATGAGGGGGGATCTGAAGCTCTGCCCTTTGCTGAAGCTGCTGCAAGTCTTGCTCAATGGAGCTTCTCTGACAGTCAGATCTCAGAGACTGTATTTTCCATCTTTCCCACCCAGTTAATCCCCTCTTCTAGCACAGTGAAGGAGAAGCTAGGAGCTTCCAGGACTGTGCTTACAGATGGCATTGTGAACTAAACGTGAGGCCACTAAAGCACAGGGGAACGGGAGAGCCTTGACCTGTGCCCATTTCCTGCCCCTCCTCTTGCTCCTGCCCCTGCATCCTCCTCGCCCAGAGCACTGCACAGGCCTCTCTGGATCAGCACTGAGCTGCGCTTGCCTTCTGTCATTGCATTTCTTACTCTCACAGTGAATGGAAACAAAGTTTGAAAGAATAGTGAGTTCAAGTTCAGGGTTAGAGAATATAGAAAGGTTTCATAATTTGGCTTTTTTATATAACAGCCCATGCTCCAGTTTTTCAGTGGAATATTTGACTAGAGGGGAAGGCCTGCAGAAACAGAATCTCCCTGTTGCTTAAACAGATAAAGCCAGTTTCAGTTGTCCCCTATGCTGTACCTCCTGTAGCAACAACAGATTTGCAGTACTTCTAAAAGTTGGAAGGTGGGGAGATGAGTATCTTGGAGAAAAAGATTCAGCAAAAGTTTATCTGCTTATGGGAAACCTTTTTTCCTGATTTTTTTTCCTTTAATAACATCCTGGCAAAAAAATTTTCCAACAAGTGACTGAAGTACATATCTAATTTAATTTTTTTCCAACTGAAGCCTTTAAGTTTGTTTTTAATTCTTAATGAATATAAAACTAAATGGAAAAAAGTCATTGGAATAACTGAAATTTAAAGCTAGCTCAGCACTTCAATAGGGCATTGAATTTTTCCTGTTGATAATACATGTAGGTGTCAAGTGCACAGAAACATGATTTTGCTTCAAAAAATTAAAAACACATGCTTCTATTGCATCACAGTCATTTAATTACAATCATGTAATTATAGAATGCATTTTATATAAATTAAAATTGGATGAGTGAAACAAAAGTAATGATTGTGGATGGGAGTGCACAGCACTTTATGTGTGGGTAGTTGGAGAGGGTGACTTGTTAGTGACGGAAAGTAGCATCAGAAATACCTTTTTGTTGATATCTCTTGTTATGGCTCTCTTGGTCTGCGGCCACACCAGTATGCTCACCGCAACAGGACCCAGACAGCTCTTCTGCCTTTGGCTTTGAGGTGTAATCCATGAGTGACTAAGAACAGGGCCTGCTCAGCTCACAGGTTGTGTGCTACATGGCTGCACTGACAGCCTCATCTTGTGAATATGCTGGCTCTCTGTTTGCCAGAAATAACCACTGGAGTAAAGGTAAGCATGGGTGGCCACGTTGACTTTTGACAGTTGAGAAAGCCACAGTTTGACTTTTTATGGCCGAAACTCCTTGTTAGCTCTGATGTTGCTATACTATGTGAGGATATGTTAGTGTTCAGAACAGATCCTGACATACCTTCGGGGTAGATGATTAAAAACTGCTATTTGAAGGAAGACTTACATAGTACTTTCCATTGGTAAGTCTTTTGGGTGTGAATCTAGTACAGTACTTTAAGGATAGAAAACATTTAAGAGAAGAAAAGATTGAAAAGAAGGGTAAACTTGAGATTTTAGCATGTGATCTTTGGAGTAAAATAAAAGAAAGGGATTTGTGCTTTTGCTGCTGTGTCTCAGTAGATAGTCTCTGTCCTTCAGCTTCATGCTACAGTCTCCTGCCAGTATTATAGATATATGGTAGACTTGTCCTGTCAGAAATACCAACATTTTGGGCAGTATTCATGTAAATCTTTTGTGCCAACAAAAAGTTCCTTTTTGTGTAGTATCTTTACCTCAGTCTTACAGTTTGATCCTCTTGAGAAGCTTATAGCTTGTCTTGCAGAAGCCAAGTAATGGAGTCATCAAGTCTGAGGAAACCTCACGGGGCAGTGTTTTAAACCCTGTTCCAAAGTAGGAGTTTCTGTTGAAAGCCTTTGATAGCTTCAGCTAGGGATGTGGCCTTCAGATGACTTGTTCTCAGCCAGGTTTTAAGTAGACTGTGACATTGTATATGTGTGACTTGTACAACTTTAACATGTATTTTGTGTAATCACTTGTTACCAGACAGCTTCATGGAAATGCAATTTTTATACTAAAGATATTGCTTATTTGTACTGTAATATGTTGTTATTTATATTCCTTGTAATCATCTGGTTTAATTAGCCCAGTGCATTTAAATTTTTTCTCTCTATCCATGTACTCTTTGCTTCCTCAAATAACATCTACAGCAAGTGAAATGAGAAATATCATTGGAAGCTGGACATTACCTGAATTTCACATCTGATCACAGAACTGTATATAATTTTTGATTCTATATGGTTTCATTTTATTGTAAGTTTCCATTTTCATCAAAGCATAATGACAGTAATGACTAAGCAAAGACAAAATGATGTATTGCTTTTCATATAAGTATTTTCACAACCATTTGGCTAGGCAGTTAAAATATTACTTTGTTAAAAAATATTTTTTCTCTGTATTTGTTCTCCATCTATTCATTCCCTATCTCCTGGCTTAGTGAAACCAAAACCATGTGCTTCTTAGCTGCTCAAGAACAAGTCCAGAGATCCACAGACCACCTCATTGGGGGAGTCTATAGAAACTCATTGCATGAACCTCTTGGTTGTCACTCTCTGTGGAGACCTGGAGGAGACCAGAAATGGAACAGATGACAAATGCTGCTCTTTCTCCAAGATACTGAACTGACCTGGTCCAGGACTTTACAAAAACTTCTTCTACATCTAATTTCACCCTGCCCATTACCACCACCATGACTATAATGCACCATGACACCAAAGCACACAGGAGTTGGGGCAGTTCTTCACATATGCTTAGACACTAATATACTGAGAATTTGATTTTTCTCTTGGAAAATGATAGTGGAAAGAGTAGAAAAAGTTACTAAATGTGCATATCACTAAGGCCTCCCAGAGCCACAATGCTTATTTGCCCATATAGAGAAGTATGGCTGATAACTGTGTCTCAGTTTAGAAGAACTTGATTATTCATTCTTGGTGGAGATTCTTTTTTGAATGATGGGTACACAGTTTCTAATTAGGGAGCTTTTCATCCATTCTCCAATTTCACTATCTGTGGTAGGCAATCAGTAGTTTGTGGGCTCCATATATATTCCTAAATGGATTCTTTTTAATATACATATGACTAATGATATTTTATGCCATATGAAGGCATCATGTTCTGGTAGTGCAGTTACCCTTTCTTAAAATAACTTTATCTTGGTTAGAGACCATAGGATAAGCCAGGGAAATAGTTATCCTCCAGAAGGATAGCCACCTAGGTTCACAAAATCACAGGTCTTTTACCCTATGGGATGCCTTTCAAACTTAACTTTCTGGGGAATTTTAAGTAGAAATTGTACTCTTAATAAATAACATTAAAAATTAGCAGATTGTAAGTAGACCATTCACTTGTAGATCTTCTGACTAGTAACCACATATTTTAACACTTTTCATGCCTTTGCCCTCTCCATAGATGAGAATGAGCTTGGGCAAAGCCATGAGGTTATAGTAGTGGCATCACGTCATTGTCCTTTCTGCAGGCTCTTTGTTCTACTGATTGGCAAAGTAGGAATTGCTTCTAACAGTGTTTTGGCTACTTTTTTTTCATTGTTGAGACATAATACCTGGTGCTCAAAATTAGAGAAGGAAAGGTTTATTCAGCTTACAGTTTTTTGAAAGTTTCAGTTCTTACACAGCTCCAAAGCAGGGAGGTATGGCTCAGGGGCAACCGTTCATGATGGCTGCAAAAGACAAGAGATAACGATGAAAGAGAAAGCACACCTTCCCTCCTTTATATTTTGTATGCTGGCTACCCACCCTTGGGCAAGTGCAGAACTCTCACCACTGATCCCAGCACTAGACAGTGAACCAATCACAAACACTAGATTCAGTGGCCACTGTGTCTGCAGGAGGCTTGAGGGGCCAGCCAGACACAAACCATAACATTCCATCCCTGGTCCCCCAAAGACATGTACATCCTTTACATAAAAGACATCTCCCAGTGTTGCCAAAGTTAACAGTTTCACTATTGCTGAAAAGTTCAAGTTCCAAATCTGCTCCATGATTTAAGGCAAACTCTTAGCTGTGAGCCTTGTACAAATGAAAACCAAGTTAAACAGTTCCAACATTCAATGGTACAAGATAAACATTACCATTCCAAAGGGTACAAATGGAATTATTAAGGAATGGGACCAAAGGAAGTCCAGCAGGGCAAACATTAATTCCTGGAGTTCCATGCTCAGCATCTGAAGCAATCTGACTGTGAGCTCCAAAGGACTTAAGAGACTCCACCCCCATGGTACTTCTGGGGGTTTTAGCTCCCAGAGCTTCTCTCTTAGGCCTGCTCTGCTCAATCTTTGCAGCTTTCATTAGATGATCCATGCTGCTGGCTTTTTTAAACTTCTGGGGTCTCGACTGCACCTTTGGCTTCATACACTCATCATCACACATTGCCCACTCAGGGACACACTGCCTGGCCTTTTAGGCCTTATGAATTCGGGGTGGCAGCTGCCTTAACCTCAAAACTCGTGCATTCTCCTAAAACCAGTACTATGTGGATGCTGCCAAGATCCAGTTGAAGCAGAAGCCAGGCTTTCATCTCTCTTGGCTGTAGGGGTTAAGTTGCTGGATTGCTGGACTCTCTGAACCTGATTGTGAGGAAGAACTTCTCTATGTCTCCACCATTTTGGAACTTCATGTGGGCTTAGCTGCCGTTCTGGAACATGGTGCTCTCCAAGCAAAGTCTTTGAGGCTGCACCTTGGATAGAGACCCACCTTTACTTCCTGTGATGCTTATTTTCCCCTTCCTTTTCAGCCGTGGAGATCTCAGCTCTGTCTTTACAATCCACAGCCTTTTTTTTGTCTTTTTTTCATTTTTATCGGTAACAGGGATCGAACTCAAGACTGCCTGCTTGCAAGGCAGGCGCTTATGCCGCTGAGCTAAATCCCCAGCCCCACAATCCACAGCTTTACTGGAGCTCTCTTTCTGGCCAAACTCTCAGTGTTTTAAATCACCCTGCTGTGCTCTTTGTTCTTGATCCACAATATAAATCTGGCTAAAAGCTCCCAACAATAGCCATGCCACTACCTCAACATTCCATTGCCTTGAAATTTCTTCTGCCAGGTTAATCATTTCCCTGCCCTTAATCTTAGTCTCAAGCAACGTCTCTAGACATGAGCAAAATTTAAACAAACTCTCTGCCAAGTCATAATACACATCATCTGGAGTCCAACAACTAATGCAGTCCTTTTCAGCAGAAACCTGAGCCTGGTCATTACCAGCACGATTTCTATCAGCCTTCTGGTCTCCTGAGCTCTGACCAGAATCTCCCATGCAGAACAGCCTAAGGTGATCCAGTGCCACTCTTTCAGGTGACATCTCTGAACCTTTCCAAACTTTTCCCAGAAGCCATTCCCAAAGACTCTTGAACCACACAGTCAGGTGCAGTCACAGCAACAACCACACCCCACTCCAAATTCTATCTTGGTTACTTTTTTCTCTTTGAGAAAATACATCTGATGCCCAAAATTAGAGAAGGAAAAGCTTATTTAGCTTGCAGTTTTTGGAGGTTTCAGTCCATACTCAGTTGGCTCCAAGGCAAGGTGACATGGCTAAGGGGCAACCTTTATGGTGGCCTCAAGCAACAAAGAGGAAAGGGCAAAGGGTAGTCTACTGTATGTAGACTACCCGCTCCTGGGTAAGTGTAGCACTTATTCAGCAATATAGTATAATAAAAAATTTAAAACTACCACTGCAAAAAGCCAGAAATCTGGCTAGAATATAACTAATCTTGTAAAGGCAGAGATAACCTCAAAATGTTAAGAAAAGTTCACAGAGCCTAAAATGTGTGAAGTAAATAAACAAAAACTGGTACTAGGGCTCAGAAGGGGGGGGGGAAATCCAAAGGATTTTTATAGATTTATATCTAGGTATAGGATTGAAAACTGGATGTTTTAAGGTGGGAAATTGAAACTCATAAGACAAAATTTCCATCTGCATCCTTGGTAAAACAACTACAAGCAAAGCCTATCTCTTTTTGACTTAATCTATGTGTTGGAAAACTACAGTGGATTTCTCTAAAAAATCAGGAGTCAGAATTTATAAAGCCTGGAATTTAAATTTTTTCTATTTTACTGCCTCAAAGCCACAAAGGTAAATGACAAATTCTTGTAAAATGCCTAATAGAGGCGTCAGGTGTGGAAGGCGTATCGGTAAAAACAAGCACAAAACTGTTGAAAACATCCCCAGCCAGGGTTTAGAGTTTGCACAGATAAAGCCCCATTTAGGATAAGCTCACAATCCAAAATTTCAAATTGTACAAGACAGCTTTTCACCAGACCAGGAAGGTTAGATTTACCTAAACCTAACCTTAGATAAAACTGTTAAAAAGACATTTTAACAATTAATTTTAAAAATTAATAACCTGAATGTAAAGCATCAGTCATTTTCCCTAAAAATCATGTATTTAAGATTCATCCATCTTGCATACATTAGTCATTTTTCAAGTGAGGTATATTCATGTGTGCTGTTTCACAGTATAATATACCAGCACTTTATCCATTCTACTATTGTCAGGCACATGGAGAATTTCTGTTCAGCTTTGAACATTTTGATAGATTTTTCCAGGATTATTTTATGAGCAGTCTTTAGAGAAACAGAAACATTGCTTGAGATTTGCCTGAAAGCAATGTATATTAGATTCTTGAGAAGATATTCTGTGAGGTAGGTCTTCCTGCTGGATCCCTGCTCCACTATTTGCCAGTGATATGAATTTAAGTTTCCTAAGTTGTCTGTGCCTCATTTTTACAATGGGGTAATAGATATTTCCGCATCCATTAAGAGCTCAAGAATTGTAACCAATATTTTCAATGATGACAACTAGAAAAGCTACTTTTATAATAGCTAATAGTTTAGTGCATGGTGATAGACATGTGTCTAGTTTTAGTCTGTAGCATATGGGAAGCCAGATTTTTTTTTTTTGGTCTAAATATTAAAACAGAAACACAAAATCTACTGGAAGACAAGGAAGGTGGAAATCTTGAAGATCGGTAACCAGAGAGTTCATGAACAAAATCCAAGCTGCACAGAAAGTACTTCAAAGAATCAACAACTGGAATCTCATTAAAAAGTTTTTGCACATCTGATGAAATCACCAACAGAGTAAAAAGAACCCAGAGAATGAGAAAAAAATTTAGCTGCCTCTCAGACAAAGAACTTCTATCTGAAACATATAAAGAATTTAAACAAAAAGTCAGGCCCCCCAAATTCAAAGGCCTAATCCAAAAATGGGCATCTGAGATGAATATACACTTCTCAGATGGAGAAATTTATGAAGAATATATGAAGAAATGCTCAGTGTCACTGGTCATTTGAGAAATGTAACACAACACTGAGATTCCAGAAAAAATGGCTATCATCAGGAAATCAACCAATAACAAACGCTGGCAGGGCTGTGGAGAAAAAGGAATCCTTCTCTTTGGTAGGAGTGTAGACTGGTGCAGCCACTGAAGAAATCAATGTTGAAATTCCCCAAAAATATTAAAACTAGAGGTTCTATTTCAGTCAGCTTCCTCTACCAAAATGTATTACATTGTCTTCTTCACAAATATGGAGGCCAAAGAACACAGATTTAGGACTTGAACGCACCCCCTCCTGCTCCTCTCTCCATCTGGAGAAACTGTAATGTTTTCCTTTAGTCCTCATTCCCTGTGGAAGGAAAGATTATGCAGCTGTTAAACACCATCACAGAGAAGTCTACCAGTGCAAACTCCTTGCATACATATAAAACTATGGGTCACTTCCAGCCCTCCAAGTTTGGCTAGGCAGGTTGGAGGCGATTCTCATATAAGCACAACCATGCTGGGTGTCTCCTAATCTCTCATCACAGGAATTTCTGTGCTGGAACCACACCAGTCCACATTCCCCAGGAAGAATTGTCTCTAGGGTCTCTGTAGGCATTTCGACCCTGCTCGTGCTTACCAAGCAGGGCTTCAGTAAGATGGCATTTCCTTTCCATCACAGCCTGTTCTGTACATCTCAAGACTTCTGATGTGGGCCCCATTAGATAGTCATCAAGACCATCACCAGATCTATTCTCTTTCCTCCTCAGGTTGATCAGCTTCATCGGTACTGAGATTTCATGTGGATTTTACTTGGATTAAAATGCAGCAAATATTGGCTTGTTCACTTACCTACTTAACCCAGATTTGCCACCCTTCATTCTTTCACTCCTGGTTGCCTTTCTACCTTAGAGACTTCTCCAGCCACTCATGAGCACAGTCTGTCTAAAACATCTATAACATTAATGGCTTCTCTAGCTTTTACTTCATTAGTCCCCCACAGTGTGAGATATTAGATGCTGCGCAGCTTTGCCTCACTTTAGTGGATACAACTCAATAGTTTTTGATTTGTTGCTTCATTGGCATGTTTTGCAAATTCTCAGGTTTCTGGAAGCCATTTGTGTGCTGCATTTCAAAATCTGCTTGAATTTCACTTCCTGGGCATTATCCACATCCCTCTGAGATGAATCTGTTTACCAGGGGAGCAGGACAACTGCTTCCTCCTGCTGCAAGTACCTTTCTCTATTAACAGCACAATATGATTTCTTAAGAAACTGAAGCCATCTCACAGATATGCAATTTGCAATTTCACAAGGGAAATTCTTCTTTTAAAGACAATCTCAATTTGGATAAATCCTATTTGCTCCATAAGCCTAATTTTCAAATTAGAACCATGCTTGTTCCTCTCCCAGCACTACCATCAAATTAGTTTTCAGGTCATCCAAGTCTCAACCACACTGCTCATGTAGCTTTCTAGAGTTACTTCCAGAACCTGCTCCTCAGTTCTCGCTTCTCTATTTCATTGTCCCAAGACCTTTTATACCAAATATGCAATATTGACTTGATAATTTAACCCATGTTGCAGCAGGGTATTACATCACTCATCTGCAGACATTGAGACACACTGTCAGAATCTAAATTCAGTGACTACAAATCTTACAAACATGATTTTATCTCTGGGAAATGGTAGAGTCCTAGTCTTATCTATATTAAGATTTCATAGATGTTTAACAGGTTTGTGACCAATAACTGTGACTTGTCAATTTGCCTGGATTAAAAAGTGCCTCCTGGATGAGTTAAGCACTCTCCTGGGCCTGTCTGGGTGGATCTTGGGGGCAGGGCTTTGGGGACTGTTCCCAGCCTCTGGTTGCCTCCTCCCTGGCTCTCCTTCCCTGTGCACTGCTTCCCAGCTGCCAGGAAGTGAGCAACTTTGGTCCACCATGGCCTTTTGCCACCGCAGTGTTTCTGCCTTGGAGCACTGGGCTGAAACTGATAAACTCCTTTAAATTGTGGATGTCGGTGTTTCATTTCAGCAACAGGAGAGTTGACTAATTCACTCCTCCTCCTAGAAGATCAGAGGGGCTCCCCTTCAACTCTCTGCCCCCCTTTTCCCTTACAAGACTTTTTCTTACATGCTTTCTGCGTTAGTCATGCTCCTCCCTTTTCCCTTCCATGTCTCAATGTTTCTCTTTTCAGATATCTCAATCTTTTCAGCTGTGCATCTTTTTAATGTTTCATTTTCTTTTGTTGTTTGTCCTCCCTTCCCCACCTGACTGTTCTGAATTTGCATAATAAGGTCCAGGGAAGAGGCAAAGGACAAAGGAAACAATAGGTCTAAGTTATGTTATCCCTTACTGAGAAGAGAATCATCCGATACTTACAGATTAAAATATTGTGTCAGTCACCTTTCAACAAAATAATAGTGTTACCTCTGTGGACTGTAGTTCTGCTGACTGCCTTCCCACTTGTTTTCTTCCTTTCTTTCTTTCTGTTCTTGAGTTTGATTTTTTGCATCCTTAATCTAAAACGAGAAATAAAACAAATGTTCTTTCTCCTTTTTCCAGTATTTACTTATAGGATGCATTACATTTCAGTGCAAAATGATTTATAATGAGTTCACAAGTTAGCGGTACTGATTCCATTAAGTTCTTTCTGTCTGCCCAGAAGTAAGTTATCCTCACAGGGATACACAAAGAAAATTTCACAATCATGGCTCTAAAATGAGAAGGAATTTTCCATTTGCTTTCTCCTTTCTGTTATGAGTTTCTAAAAGAATGTATACTACCTAAAGCATTCTTTTCTGAATGCAATTTAGTGTATAAAAAGTCTCAGTGTGCCGCCACCTTCTGGATACCTCAACCTTGTCTCCTCAAGGAAACAGTCTCCCAATCTGAGAAAACATTAGTAATTAGTTTTAGTAAATAGCAAAAAGCCAAAGCAAAATTTATGGAGAATTTAATTCCATTGGAATTGTTTGCAAAAATATGGGCTGTTTTTTTTAGTTATCTTTTCTAATTTAGTTCAAATTTAACAAAGACCCATTCTTGACATAACTTGGTGAATCCTGATGTGGTTCTCCTGTAAAAACTTCAAAAGCATACATCACTGAACATGTGACAAAGGAGAAAGCAGTCAGCCTAAAGGTCTGGTTTGTATTTAAGGTTATAGTAAAAACTAGGAAATAATGATTTTGCAAGCCACTTTACTTCTGATTCTGTACCAATTGTATTCTCTGCTAGAAATGTAGCTATGAGATTTATGAATGTTATCACATAGGAGGCGCACAGTTTTAAAACTCACAAGATTTTCTCCTAAATTACTTTTAGATTTAAAAATCTTATCTTTTTGTAAATGGTGACAAATTAACATTTTGAGCTTTTACATTGCAATTACCCAAGTGGAAGTTAGTATTTAACTGTTTTCCTGGAAGTGTAATACCTATGAAGAATACTGTCTTTTGAGATAAATTTTGTGAAAATTCTAGCCATAATTTGAGGTTTTATTTAGATCCTTGTGTTCTATAGGCGCAGCCTTAGGTGTTGTAAGCATTAACCTTGCTGCTGAGATTCCAGATCACCTACAGGGCTTACTCTTTATTTTAATAGACTATCATTACTATCTTCCTTCTCTTTACTAAAAAGCACTTATCTATTCCTAACAAAGTCTCAAGTCACTCTCAAAAACACTCTGAAGGAGACTTCCAAATTTCAATAAATAACTTCTCCTCCATCTGAGATGCAATTAACATTAACTGAGGCAGAGCTGTGTCCTGCCCTAGTCACTGGGCTCAATATTTTCTTATCAGCAAGTTGCTTTAAAGATACTGTGGGGAACCAGCGTTGCTTGGGGGATGGGTTTCAGGTTTTTTTTTTTTTTTTTGTTTATTAAATGCTAATGTTGGAATACATCTGTTGTTTTCTTTTTTTCTTTTAAAAACAAAGCAAACCTAAACAGCAGAACAAAACAGATCAGAGTAAAACAACACGGGATTTCAAAATAAGACAACAGGAAAGCAACAGTGGCTACCATAATGTCTCTTGTTTTCTTCAAAATAGCTATCCGTACCTTCACACATATTGATATCAAATAATTGAAAACAGACTAAAACCAAAAATAAAAGCATTATTAGACTTCAAAAAAAATGATAGGAAATCAGGAATGGCTACCATGATGTCTCATTTTCTTCAGTGTAACTTCATACATCACACATACTAAAATCAATTCTTCTAAACTCTTTAGTGAAGTTCTAGGCATATATAAGCCTATATATGTACATCTTTCTTTTCTATACTAGAGAGAAAAACAAAAAGTATAAGAAAAATAAGAAGCAAGAGCCAAATAACTATAACAAAGAGCCCAAAGCAATAACAATGTAGGCTTTCAAAACAAGGTGGTGGAAGATAATTAACTTGTCTTGTATACTTATCTTCAAAAGAGTTACTCAGATTACCAGATATAAACATGCAAAATTGATCTAATCCTACATTATCAGGTCCTGACCTAGATCCCCAATCTCCCAAATGAGTATACAGCAAAGGCTTAAATAAAATGAGACAAGTGTTATGACTTTAGGGCTCCAGGATGGTCACAACCATTTAGCTAAGTTTGAGACTCTGAGGGCTAAGACAAAGACTTCTCTGGACCGCCCATTTTTATTAGGTCCAAAACAAAGAGCAAGGAAACTGAGGAAATGTTAGGCAATGAGCAGGATCTTGGGAGTCACTTCAAGGACGTCTCCAAGTAATGAATCATGTCAATTTAGGAGAACCATCTTATCATAAAGACATGGTAGGAGTGAGACTGTAGGAGTAATTCCTACAGCTGCAGTCTCTATCTACTAATGGTGTTTGAGCCAAGTGTCTGCAGTTGTGACCTTTTGGTGCCTTTTGAGGTATCTCTGGCCTCACAGGCCACTACAGGCCTCAGCCAAGACCAGTGATTCACAGAGGTTCATTTACTATGAATCAGTTCCCGTCACCAGGCAAGGGGCTGAGGCCTAGGACAGACTCACAGATAAACACAGACAGCCAATTAGTTAATTTTAGATCTTGTTCAGAGTTGCTTCATAGAGGTCTCCAACACTACGTATTTTAACTGTTTTATTACAAGAACTAATAGAATTAGTAGTACAATCATCTTAGTAATTAGTTATTTAGTAATTAGTAATTATTTAGTAATTAGTAATTTAGTTATTTTTTCCTCTCTGAACAGTTTCTTACCTTTTCACAATATTTATTGAAGATTTTGTATCTTATTTATCTTTTAGTTTCTTATACTAGGGAGGCAATACAGTATTTACCATATATGTTTGATTTATTTCACCTATGAGTATGGTATCAAGTTGCATCTGTTTACCTATAAAAGCCTCAGTGTGGTCCTTCTTTATAGCTGAGTAGTATTTCATCATATAAAAATACCACATCATTTTTATCCATTCCTCAGTTGAGGGGCATTTGGGTTGTTTCCAAGATTTGGCTATTACAAATCGTGCTGCATTAAACATGGGTGTACATGTATCACAGTGGAGTGATGTTTTCAGTTCTTCTGGCAAAATGCCCAGAAGTGGAATATCTGGGTCAAATAGGGCCTCCAATCCCAGCATTTTGAGGAATCTCCAGACTGACCTCTCCAATGGTTGCACCAGTCTACGTCACCAACAGTGTAGAAGAGTTCCTTTTTCCCAAAAGCCTCTTTAACATTTGTTATTGGTGATCTTCTTGATCTTGGCCATTCTTTCTGGGGTGAGATGGAATCTCAGTGTTGTTTTAATTTGAATTGCTCTAATGACCAATGATGTTGAAAATTTTTTCATGTATTTATTTCCCATTTGTACTTCTTCATCTGATAAGTGTGCATGCATCTCAGTTGCTCATTTTTAGATTGTGTCCTTGAATTTCGTGATCCTGATTTTTTAAAATTCTTTATATATTATAGATAGAAGTCCTTTGTCTGAGGGAAAGTTAAGATTTTTTACCAATTCATGGTTATTTTTCACTCTTTTGGAGATTTCTTTTGACATGTAAAACCTTTTTAATAAGAATCCAAGTTTTTGATTCTGGAAAGTATTTCCCATGCATTTGATTTTTGTTTTTGAATTCTCTGCCCGTACCTATGTCTTCAAGATTTCTACCTACTTTGTCTTCCAGCAGATTTAGTGTTTAATAATTGCATCTCTGATCCATTTTGTCTTTAGTTTAGTACCTGGTGATAGGAATAGGTATAGTTTTAGCTTTCAGCATATGAAAGCCAGGTTTTCCAGCATCATTTATTAAAGAGGCTATCTTTCTTCCTGTGAGTGTGTTTGGCCCCCTTGTCAAAGATAAGGTAGCTGGGAGTATTTGTAAGTTGTAGTTGTATTTTTTAATCTATTCCATTGTTCTTCAGGTCTGTTATTATTCCAGTACCATGCTGATTTTATCTTTGTAGGATTGTGATGCCGCCTGCCTTGCCTTTGTTGCTCAGAATGGACTTTGCTATTCTAGGTCTATTCTGGTTCCAGATGAATTTTAGGAATGATTTCTCTAGATCTATGGGTATGCTAATGATATATTGATTGGGCTTGCATTAACTATGTATAACAATTTTGGGAGAATAGTCATTTTCACAATGTTTGTTTTTCCTATCCATGAACAAAGAATGTCTTTCCATTTTCTGAGAGTCTCTTCAATTTCTTAAACTGTAAGTTTTCACTGAATATATCTTTTACCTCCTTTATTTTATTGATTGCTAGGTATTTCAATTTTTATGCTATTATGAAGGGTTTGGTTTCACTTATTTTTCTCTGAATGTATTTGTTGTTTGTGTACAGGAATGCTATTGGTTTTTCAGTTTTGACTTTGTATCCAGCTGCATTAATGAATTTGGTTATTACATCTAGAAGTCTTTCAATAGACTTTTGGGGGTCTTTTATATAGAGTCATGTCCTCTGAAAATAATGATAGTTTAACCTCTTCCTTTATCTTTATTCCTTTTATTTCTCTCCCTTGTCTAATTGCTCTGGATAATATTTCCAGCACTATATTGAATAGGAGTGGTGATAGTGGACAGCTTTGTCTTGTTTCTGAGTTTAGAGTGAAAGCTTTTAGGTTTTGACCATTTAACATGATGCGGGCTGTTGGTTTGTCATAGATAGTTTTCATCAGATTGAAGTAGAGACCATGTGTTCCAATTTTCTGTAGGGTTCTTGTTGAATGAGTGTTGGACTTTACCAAAAGCTTTTTTTGTGTCTATTGAAATGATCATGTGATTTTTATCTTTGACTCTATTGGTATGATGTATTATACTTATTGATTTGCATATGTTGAACCATCGCTGAATTCCTGGGATGAATCCCACTTGGTCATGGTGTATAATCTTCTTGATGACTTGCTGCATTCTGTTTGCCACTATTTTATTGAAAATTTTTGCATCTATGTTCATTAGGGAGATTGGCCTATAGTTCTGTTTTTTGGTTGATTCTTTCTCTGGTTTTGGTATTAGGATAATGCTTGCTTCCAGGAATGAGTTAGGGAGAATGGCTTC